TCCCGGAGAGTTGGAGGCGACAGAGGAAATGGTTAAAAAAAGTCACTGCAATTTAAACGCGGACACAACCAAACAGTCAAGGCGAAAGGGGAAACCTTGGATTCTGGCCCAAAAATGGTTCGAAGAATGGGAGAGAGGATCCGCGCACGAACTTCTCCACAGCAGTTTAGCCAGAGGAGAGGCGATTGCGATAGTTGGTGGGAATATATATTCGCGATTATTTATTTCCTGGAGACAGAGAGCAGAAACCGTCACATGCTGCTCGACGGGGGGCAAAACGACGGGCATATCACCGCGGCGGTTCAGCGGCACCAAAATCGACCATGATGGGATGCTGCTTTGGTGATGCTACTGCGTAGTTCGTCGTCGCGACTAGTCCGCTGCTGGTGGATACGGCGAACCACAAAACAAGGCCAGAATTAGCGGGAGGTGGATGCGATTGTTAAACTGATGAACTACCTCTGGCTGTTGTTGGAGGGAGGAGGAAGGGCAGCATAATGATCTGAGAAAACCTTCCTCCCGATGATTCTAACGAGGTTTCAACATTGAAGAATGCGAGGAATAGCCCTGCAGACAGCAGTCCCAGGAGTAAAACGCCGTGAAATTACGGAGGAGAACAACAGAAGACATCTCGGCTGGCGAGGCCCTGATCAGCGTCTATGGATCAGTATCGTCAATCGGTGCAAGTACCTGGTACCATCACATCACCCTGTAAGCAACGAGCCCAGACCCCGGGCGGGGCTTGAGCCTGGGCAAGACTTGCCCTCAGGAGTCCGGTTGGTGGCAGCTGACCCCGGGGCCAATGCCCTACAGAATCACCGAGGGATGTACCCGGTACCCGAACACCAAGTAGCCCTCGCGATTATTGTATTTATTGATTGGAGTTTTGTTCCATTTCAACCATTGGGAGGTCTGGAGAAGCAACTCGTTTTGACCGTGGCACATTCCCAGGTACTTGGATCAACTTTATCTGGCAGCATCTCTGGATTGAGTTTAATTTACTAACGCACAAACAAGAAGACATCGCCTCCGGCAAAAAAGTCCCTTCTTTGTGCTTGAGTTTGCAGGCTAGCTACTTAGCGGGCAGCCATACGCCTCCGAGCACAGCCTGACAAGAATCAAACTCCCCTAAAGTTGCTCCAACCCCACAGCTAGGCGTGGTTGGCTGCTGTTTTGACAACCAAGCTAAATCTCACTTTCGGCATATCCGATATTCAGGGTTGTGGTTGCACCGGTGGTTGATGCCACTTGATGCGTGGCGTCGTTGAATTTTTAAACTCAAGGTGCGCCAAAAGGGCAGAAACAGATGAAAAATCTATAACTATAACTGTATAAAAATATGCCATCCAAACCACACCAGGTTGCCCTGACGTTTCAGCCCTCTGACATGAGACAAAATCCATCCGGCATGGCTTTTTTTTTTTTTTTTTTTTTTTCGCTGACCTGATCCGATTATCAGCCCTGTTCTAATTAGAATATGATCGAAGGGATCTGCTCCCCCCTCAGATCTCTCGTCAGAGATCGATCAGACGCCCTACCCTGCCTGAGCTGCTGGAAACTACTTCATTCCAGCATGGGCTGACGAAGTACCTATTGCAAACATGCCACACTGCAAAAAAGCTTCGGGAGGCCCGTCTGCGCCGGGGAATTTTAACAAGTGTGGCTTTTTTGTTGTCTTACTGCCCGGCAGTATGCTTTTCCATCTCTAACTAAAACTCTAAAACTCTGCACCGAAATTGAGCTGTTATGCCGGTACAAAAAAGTGGACATTTTTGCTTCTCTGACTCTGAGAGGGGCAAAAAAGAAAAAAAAAAGAAAAAAAAAAGAAAAAAAAAAGAAAAAAAAGAGGGGAGGATTAGCAGTACCTTAATTTCAAGTGGGTAGCATTGATGAATTGCCAGGAATGTTCGAATTCACATGTTGAACTGAGAATGGGAGACACATAATAAGAATAAAAAACAACTTTTTGGCCGAAGTATGGAGTCTTGTGGATATATCGACCAAACTACTACAGACACAAAGGTTTTTTTTTTTTTTTTTTTTTTCCTTCTTTTGATGCCCCTGCAAACCGGCACCCTATCTAAGAATATATTCGTGTAGACGGACTACAGTGTAATAATAATAATTACTTAATTACTTTATTGTCCTTCATTTTCTCCCAGGGCGACGATAACAATGTAGTATACCAGGTAATAACCTTGGAATGCTTCGTGCGCCCGTTTATATCCACGTGATCAATGGTATTTCCAATGCCATGACAGCCTCCAGCGACAACAGTAAAAGGGAAAAGAAATATATTCAACACCATAAACAGCTAGCATAGTATCGAAACTATTAACAAGCTGGATGAGAAATACCAATTCATATACATAGAGAGATATACGGACTCCTGTATATATTTCCTTTCAGCTTCATCCGTGCGGCTGAGTAAAGATGGGTGACTCTGAAGCACAGCAATTAATATCGTTGGCAGGAGAATAGGAAAATAAGAAAATAAGACAATAAGAAAAATAAAAGGCTAAGAATATAATATATGCACACATCTGGTTCAAGCATGTAACGGCGCCTGGCGCGTGGGCTGGAAGAACCATGGAAAAGAGAGAGCTCCAAAATAACGCGGGCCAGTTTGCCGTTCACCCCTTCATCGGCGCGGCGATAACAAAAGCTTGCATATATATGTACTAAAGGCGTAGCAGTATAAAACAAAACAGCAGGGGGAATAAAATTAGTGTATAATATATGCAACGAAGTAAAGATATGTAAAAGAAAATAAATAAAAACTAAAAAGGGAGGTAAGTAATGGGTCAAAAATAATAATAAAAAAAAGTTAATAAATAAAAGAAGAAAGAAAGAATAAAGAAGGAAAATTTAAGAGACGAAGCTAAAGGAGTAAATAGTAGTAATATAAGGTATCCTTATTATAAACGCCGTTGACCAGCAAACAATAGATTGAGATGGTGAGAGTACGTGCGAAAGAGAACGAGGAATTAGATATGTAGAACTATGATATTTCGGGGTATCTTTCAAAAGTCGTCATGAGCGCCATTTGTAGCAGTGGATTTCTTGCGACCGAAGATACCTCGAGCGCGTGATTTGGTGCGTAACTGGCCAGGCGCGGGGGAGTTGAGACTTGGTGTCGGTGGCAGCGTGTCATCATCGGACATGTACTTGGGTTTGTATATCCTAAAACTTTTATGTGAGCCAAATGACTGATTCTACATCTAGAAAAACAGCTAGATGCATTAAATAAAAACTAAAAAAAAATAAAGTAAAGGCAACAAAAAGAAGCAAAAACTTACCAACTATTCCCAACCATGCTCATGCCCTTACTTTCCGCCATTCGATAATATTTGGCCGCTTTCTTCAGGTCCTTTTTGCAACCTAGACCTTCGACATAACAAAAGCCGGCTTCCGCAAGGGCATCCACATCTCCCCAATGGCCCGCTATTTCGAAGCAGCGCAGAGCGAGCGCCTTATCTTGTTCTATCCCCCATCCATTTAGATGGCTCACACCCAATTCATAAATGCTGAGCGCAAATTGCGCCTGGCGGGCCTTGTTCTCCTGGATATTCCTCCCACGAGACTGAGAGTTGGTAGCATCCAGAATAGCAGAATCGGCTGCTTTGCGAAGCCATTGAACACCCTCCCGTTGGTTGGGCCTCATGCCCCATCCATGGCGACAGGCGAGAGCGTATAGAAGCATACCCGTCGGCTCATTTTGCATGGCTGCGATTCGGAGGTGATACGTAGACTCGTTTAGGGAACCGTTTTCATGGCATTGTATGCCTTTCGCAACATGGTCTTCAGCGGATAAAATAGTATCAGGTGGAGGTCCACCGCTACGGCTGGTGTGGGGTCGAAGTGTGGCATTGGAGTCGGTAGATATCGTTAGGGAGTCATCTTGGTCCTCCGATCTGGGAGCGACAGAGAGTCTGCTACTCGAATTAGATTTTACCAAGCCCACAGTCTTTCGGGTTCCTTGGTCAAAAGAATGTCTTTTGGGGGGTGTTCTATCGGGCCGCTTGACAAGCTTGCCTGAGCTTTTCCGTGGAGCGGGCTTATTTTTCGGTGAGCTTGGGTATTTAGAGATTGGTTCCGATTGTATAGGGGTCTTCGGTTTTAACGGCGATTCCTGGACCGATAGCGCTGGCGTAGCAGGAGGATGAGCATGAGTCGCGGCCGGCGATGAGGGTTCCTGCTCCAATGTCTCCTTCTCAGGAGCACTTGGGGAAGGGGAACTTTCGAAGAGTGGCTCGTTCCATTCGAAATGGGGAGTTTTAAGACCAGTAAACACGAGTGAATCGCGCGAGACAGATCTCCCGCGGGGAAGAGCGTACTTCGCGTAGATATAAGATGTCGGAGCGGAAGTTTGTGCATCGTCCACCTTCGCACTAGAATCAGGAGACTCTGGCACAGTAATTGGAGATGGGCGATTTCCCCTCTTCAAAGTCCTCGATTGATATTCATCTGGTTGTTCAGGTCCGGAGAGTGAAGGGGAGGAAATTGAAATAGAAGTGCTAGATCTGCTTAACGGCCGTGAAAAGTTGAAAGATGGACGGTGAAGTGGGGTTGGCATGGGGGAATTTTCGGAAGTCGGGGACGGCGATCGAGGATGGGTTCGGGTGAAATGCGCCATTGGAGATTGAGGCATCGATATGCCGCTGCTTGAAGATAGCTTTCTCGGTTTCGAGAAGGTTGACCCTGCCGTCGAACTGGTGAAGTAATCGTCGTCAGAGCTTTCGTGCTGAGTAAGTCCCGGACTCCCTGCTGTCCGTTTCGCGGAGGAAATAGGAGGTGCGAGGGTATTCGAGGTATTCCGGTTTGTAGCAGAACTTTCAGGCGGCTCCCGCACCCGGGTGGCTGCTGAAGCATAATAACAGTTCTGGGATGTCTTTCCCGGGGCTTCTTGTTCGCCCTCTCCGTCTGAATGGAACCATGATGCGTCCTCGGGTGACTCTGCGCGGGGGACATCTCCAAAAGCACTGGGTGGAATTGGTGGAACTTCTGGGGCCACCTCTGCAGCATTGTGGTCGTTGTCACTTTCTAGGTCTTCCGACATTCGATTCAGCATCGGGTGCTGTGATTTTGGCCTGAAGGTAGGTTCCTCAACTTCTCCATTGCGACCATAACTCCCACCTGATGGGCTGACAGGTGTCTTGTTACTCGGCTCGCCCGGCGAATGTGATCCGAAGTAGCCAGGCCTTGGTTGGGATAAGGACCTGGCAACGCTTGCGGGGGGGAGCCGGCTCATGCGCTTTCCCCCATTCTTTGATTCATCGAGCTGTTTGGCCAAAAGCCGTCCTTGCAAGGCGAATGCATCGAGAGGCGACAGGACAGGAGCTACTTCTCCGTCGAAATGCGAGATGCGGGAGGAGGGTGAGAGGTTTCGCGACTGAGGTTTTTCCAGATTGTACTGGGAATCAGATTGGCCATTGCGGGTCATGGTCGGTAACGAGCGTCTATGTTGAAGGATTAAATAGTAGTCGCGGAATCAGAGGTTTGTCCTAACGGACGACCCAATGAACGATAATCTGCGAGGCTATAGAGACAGTTGATTGAGAGGTTGTCGAAATACGGGGCGCCAAACAGCGACTCTGGGGCAAGTGGTTGATCTTCGACTTCTTCAACCACATCGGGTTATTGGGGATGATTCTGCCCTGGTACCATCTGGAGAAATAGATACTGGCAGGAAAGATAAATCTATATGTGCGCAAGAGGGATGGTCCCCTTCGATGGGCGTGGCGACTCTCGCGATGGTTGGGGGTGTTGGTTGGTGGGTATTTTAAAGGGGGACGGAAGTCAGCGCCCAGAACTTTGAAACAAAGAATGGAAACCCCCAGGATGAGACGGTGGCGGAGAGATGACTAGGACGGTGAGGACTGTATCGGTCAGTAGCTTGTAACTCGAAAGGCGATACGAAAGGCGAGGTGGACGACGGATGAAGGGGTTGGATGAGGGATGGGAAACCAACCAAGCGTGTCAGATCCTCAGAGGAGGAGGAAGAGTTCCGGCCAGGATCAGCCAACGCCGCCCAGCCCGCCTTTAATTAATCAAACCAAGAGCAGGGGCCCACCCGGACGGACGCATTCATCAGGTTATTTTGTTGTTTATTTATTGATTTTGGTTTTTCCTCTCCCTCTCTTCAACGCTTCGAATGACGGGTTTATTATTGTTGTTTAATTTTACGATTTCCCATTTCTAACGGTTGATGGTATCATAATACAACCTTGTTTGGCTGCCAGGCGCCAGGAATGGACTAAGCTCGTGCAGAACCCCTTTTGCAACCTTGGTTGCAAGATAATCTTGCCGCGGTTTTCCAACATATTTCTGAGCCCAGTTCCTTGGCCCAGCAAATAACAGTCGAGAGCCCATTCGACCGCGTTGCTCAAGCCATGTCGAAGTTGTTATGGTCTTGGACCTGAGAATGGTTGAACCCCCAACAAGCCCCTGAAGGTGGTGCATGTGTATCACCAAACTGACTCGTCGTTAGTTATGGAGCAAATACGCAGGGAAAAAAATGCAATCTACCCCGGTGGGTTTGTTCCTCGATCCGCCCCACCACTTAAGCTTGTTATTCCTCGATGATGTCAGATCCAAATTTAGGCACTCAGTCATCGTGGTTGGCGATACGCGACGTAAATAAACACCAGACGGAGAATCATACAGTTAGTTAACAGTTGGTGGACTGTGTGTTCCTTCCGGTCGGTTCACATTGGCTTCTGAGAAATATTATGCCTTTGCCAACCTATCACTGTTTCTGCACACACACACACAAAATGCTAGTTGCTTTGCATATGAATTGTGATAGATCTTCTCGGGGGGTTGTCTGCAGGAACATGGTAATGTCCCCGGCAGTTTCAACGCGTGCATTTGGTGGCATGCACATTGATCTGTCACGCTGTCGACTGCAGGAACTGTCCCCCCTAATTTCCCTGTCTGGAAAATAAGAAGTGCCTTTGATAGATAGCAATTGTTGTTTCTGATCAGAGAGAAGTCTTATTTTTTAAAATTGATTTAATATAATTGCAAAACATACTTGGGTCTGTTTCCCTTCGGACGACAAACTCAAGCGTATGAACCAGAGGCTTCATAAATATACGCATCTACATGTTTCTACCCCGTCCTCTCTTTGATCCTCCCTCCTCCTCAAACGGCAACAATTTCACATTCCCTTCAACCCACGCCATAATCGCTACAAGCTTCGTGATCTGGCATGGATTCCCTCCGCTTGCGTCCCCTTGTGATACCCACTTCAATTCAATGTCATATCGGCCTTGGTTCGTCTCTGTTAGATTGGCGCGGCTATTCAGAGAAGTAAAAAGCCCGCAAAAACACATGAGAATCCAAGAGCTGGTGGTGGAACCGATCAAATCCAGATTCTCACCCCGTCGAAGATATGCGGGCCTCCCTCAGCAACCTTCTTGACCAGCGTCACCGCAAAGTTACAAATGGCAAAGGCTGATTTTGGGACTCAATTATCTCTGGGCCTGGTTGCGAGAGGGTGATGAATATAGCACTGTATCCAGGTGCCCATGTTGTTAGCACGTTGGCGAAATAAACAGACAGATCTCCCCATCCCTCACCGCTTCACCCCCACCACTTTCATTCCTTCTTTGCTCCCTGTATCTCCCCAAGCCGTGTCATGCGTGCATCTCAGCCCACCTTGGAATATGCTGTTCCGTATCCACCTTATCCGTGAGCCGTTTCCAACTCGCGATCGTGGCCCTAACTGTTGTGGTTGTTGGTTCCGCACCGAAACATTTCGAATAGCCAATGACGAGATCGGGAGGGATGAGCACCCTGTCAGCAAGCCTGTCCAATTGATAGGTATCGGCATGATATCTTTTTTTGTTCATGGTCATGTTCGTTAGTGTTATTTATTATTAGTCTCTAGTACAGACCGATGAAGCTTCATTCTTTCCTGTGCCTTTGCACCCTTCTTCTTTCTTAGGCCCTTCTGGGGTCGCGGCACACCATCTTCCTGGTGACATCGTGGATGTAGCTCTGCGTTTTTGATGACAGCATGTGGAATACATATGTACTATACTTTCCCGACACACACCCCCTCTGCGCTGGCACTTACTCTGGGGTATATTTCTTGTTTGCAAAAAACCTATCTACCTGCTGCTTTTCTATTTCAAATTCATCAGAGTGACTTTGTCCCCCCTTAAACCTAAAGTTCATGCAACGAGCATCAGCGAGTCCAATTGCCTCATAACCAGTACGGCCATTTTATATACGCAGGAGTTTAAATCAGCTACTCGGCCTGGGCGCATATACACTGAAATACTCAAAACGATAATCGGTTAACCAGTATGATGTTTCCCAAGAGTCGGATAGAAGCATGATATCAATGAGAGAATGGCAACCATGGTGAACCCTTGATTTAGAATCCATCCACCACCTTAGAGTGAAAGCAACACTCTGGCCAACAATTGCTATGCCTGCCCTTGGTTGAACGTTCACAATCAAGCGGCAGAAGAGTACCATGTACAGTACGTGTGAAATATAGCCGAAACGCTTTATCTATAAGAATATAAAATGATGGAAATCTTTCGAGCCTGCGCGCTTCAAATGTTCCAGTATTTCCCGGAAGCCATGCAAGTAGAAGGCATGGCCCAGGGATGCCTCAAATTTCTGGGGCATAGAGAATCTAACTACTCCCAGTTATGCATTTGCAGCCACTTCCAGAGTATCCGTATCGACCATAAATGTTTCTCCGTGAGAAGGTCATTATAACAGAGAGCATCTTCCTTTCCAAATGAAGTCTTCACAAGCCAATGACCTTGATTATCACAGGTGGTGTGACTTGTACTAGTTATGGAATGTTCGGCATCTCCCGGAGTCTCTCCCAATCTGGGGTCTGAAAATGTCATGGAGAATTGCCCCGGCCAGTTGCTCCATAACAAGTTCACAACTCCCCATCAGTCTTCTCGAAGCTCGCTCAGGGTTATGGAATTTATGGAATAAACTGAAGATCCAGCAGCTCCGCTTTGAAGACTATTATTTCGAAGGCCCGTTGACGCGCGCACCAGAAATTCTCATGCGCGATGATGAAACAATGTACTCCACAACAAGGAGACTAAGTTCGCCGCCGGATTGAAGCCAGGCAATTAACTACGTACAAATGTTGGCAGAGCTGGAGATAGCCGTCTAAAACTGGAGCAGAAGGTCAGATGAATGATGAGCGAATGAGCGGAGGGCAGTTGGGGGATGCTGAAGGACAGAACGTCGTAGTATACGAACTGTCATCGCAGACCCTGTTGTTGTGGAATCACGATGAAAGTCCGGGGGTGGCGTCAGAAAGATCAAGGTTTGTGGAGCATCAGCAGATCAAATGCTGCCAAGCCACGACGTTAAAACGCAAATGGCTCGCCGGGTTACTAATAAGCGCTCCCCGCCTTTAGCCTGCGCGTTTCGCGGGCGTGGCGGTGGGGAAATCGTTTCCACCCTCTTCTGTCGAATGGCACGAAGTTACCACGTAGTCATTCCAACCCTAGATTGGGACTTGACCCTTTTGTTTTGAGAGTTGACAGCTGAACCATGGCACAGCTCATCTCTTTTTCACCAGATTTACCACCTTCCAATAGGCTTTAAAACCGTGGGATACTGCCACGAAATCTCCCTTCCCCTGTCTTTTGCAACCTCGCCCCTATACAAAGAGCCACCGATCAACCTGGACAATCAGAGCGCATAACTCGTTATATATATAATTGCCAACAACTAGACTATTAGGACCAATATACATACAAGATAACCAGTGTGCAGCATGCAGTCCATGAACGTTCTCATGGGCGCAGACCCAGCCCATGACAAACTGCACCACTTTGAAACCTCCTGGTTATTCTCCCCACTTGTCTTCGGAGTGCTACGTCTGATCATCTTTTTATACTGCCTGTTGGTCCTCATAATTGTATTCGCATTGGAGAGCTCCATGGGTAGAGGGTTCCTTAACAGGCAATCCTTCAGTTATTTCACCTCCCTGGCGTTCAGTGGTGTTCAGTGGTACTTCCTCGTTTCTGGCGTCCATTCGCTCCTCTATGCCTTTAAAGGACGGTCTGTGCTCTTCGACAAGTGGCCCCGATGGCTACGCTCCTTGCATAGCCTGTATTACACCACTGTTGTGTGCTACCCTTTCGTGGTCTCGGCGATATATTGGTCGGTATTATTTGGCAGGAGTAGAATCTTACTCAGATTTGAGGTGTGGGAAAATGTAAAGATCTCCCATCCCAACTTCCCCCTTTCCCCCCCCCCTCCCTCTCTTTTTCCCTAACACCATATGTGAATGTACTCTACCTATTCTAATATTCCCGCCGCAGATCTCCAAACATGCTCTCCCACCCTTCTTCGCTCTATTTGAGATTATCTTCTCAACGGCACGTCCACCGCCAGTGTTCCATCTTGCGTTGCTGGCCGTCATCCTTCTCCTCTACTTGGGTATTGCTTACATCACCCACGCAACCCAAGGTTTCTGGGTATACCCATTCCTCAGGCCTCGCCCTGGCAGACACGGGGCCAGTGTGGCAAGCTACCTCGCCATTATCGCCGCAGTCCTCGTTCTCACCTTCGCGTTGGTATGGGGCATCAGTTTCATTAGGAAGCGGCTGGTGGGCTCAAAGACGAAATACGCCAAGACTGATCCTGATCATTCGAATGCAGCGCGTGAGGGCAGTGACCCAGATACCGAGGTCGCTCAAGACGTCCTTGACGCTAGTGTTGAAGAGACCAAGTGATGACGACGGGAAGTGTTGACATCGTTCCTTTTGTTATTAATTTTCCGTTCTCCCAGGCCATTTATTATTATATTATATATATATTTTTAATGATTTTCAAAGACGATACAATCGGTTCTGGCTCCTGGATTTATGGCTAATGGATGGATGTAATGATGCTGCCGAATTTACATGTATTTCGTTATATATATGCGCTTGTTTGCATCTCTTTTCATGGCACGCGCAAAATCAAGTAATGAGATGAGAAGAGAGGGAAACAAAATTGACATTCGAAACGCCACCCAAATACCACGTTGAAAAAAAAAGAGGAGAAAGAGCCAAGTCATTTTCCAAAACTCCCAATAACGCAACCCCATTCATACCGCAACAGCACACTGCTGGTGAGCCCTGAAGCCCCAGGGTGGATGTAAAGTGTCAGTGCACTCACGACCACAGGCTTCACAAACCCACCACCTCGGACCCCAAGATGGCAACGCCTTCGAACAATGTCTACATGCAAAATCATCGCGATGCTTTCTGTGCCTCAGTTTGCGTCTCATTCTGGTTTTCTCACGCTCGCGCAGCTGCGCCAGACACTGGCTGTCGGGAAGGGTTTTGCATATGCTGCACAACAGGCAGCTATTTCCGAACGGGCTTGTGTCAAAACTTCCTCTTGAGCCATGAACGTTACCTGTAAGTGGAAAATTGCGATTGCAGCACCTGTCGGTGTCATTTAGACGGATGCTGATCTTGTTGTAGTAGCACGAGGAACAGTAGGGCTGGCAGGTTTCTTCGTGGAGGGTGTCGAGTTGAGGTCTGGTAAAGGCCCTTGACTCGCCGCATGACTGGGTTATGAGAGGATCCTGTTAGCGGTATACTGATAGTGGGAAATGGGTTGCGATGGCAAGGGGGAGGGAATTTATCATACTCCACATATGGGAAACCGGCATAAGAAGCACCCGGTTTTTGTATCGCTATCACAGGTATATACCCTAAGGATGCCCCGCTCACTGCCGAGATGGCCATCTGGGAAAACCGTCTGTCGCATTTCCTTTGATGTCAAGCTCAAGTTTACTAGGTCCTGATAGTGCAAGTGTTGGGCGACAAGAGTCAGAATATCGATATGCAGGAACCTTGCCAGTGGTTTCCTTTGGTTTTTGGATTTGCACTGGACCTCTTTAGGTTCTGGAGGCTGATGGCGTTTGGATGTTGTAAAGGATTGAGGAAATTGATGGCGCACTTCCCGAACGGGCATGTAGACCAATTGGCTCATTTTGTTAATGCAACGAAGACGGAAGCGTAATTGCGATTGCACAGGCCTAGGCAAGAAATGTATTGAATATCGGGGAACTGTAGCGACAATTTCACAGATAAAATATGGGATGAGAGATAAAACTCTAAGCGCGGTAAAGATGTACGGCTCCTTTCTTCTTCTTTCAGGGCGCATATCTGATCGAACGACCCTGATCGAGATAGCCATGCTAACGATGATGTTAAAGAATGAAACTAGAATATATATAACCCTGAATTCCATTAATTGCTGAAACAATTTTTTTTTTTAAAAAAAAAAAAAAAAAAAAAGGCATTCTCCGCAGGTCAACAGGGAAGCGGTCGTACATACAGAGATCCAATCCCAAACCTCCATTGAGATACAAAATCTTTACAGATCTTGTCAGATGGAACGTGCATTTCAGGCTTATCAGGATAGGTATTAAGAGTTTCAAGAATATGGAAGTAGCTTCCATTGCCGTTCGCAGTGGGAACTTGCCAGGTATCTGCGTTTTTGCATGGCCCAGCAGAATGGGGAATATACGTCCCCTGACGCACCGTGGCGAGAGCAAAATAGACCGTGATAGTGGTATCAAACATCCCGATAATCGTGACACAAAGGCTCGGCGCGGCAATGGTCGGTAACCAAATGGCAAAGTTCCACCAGAATCCAATTTTGCTCTATTATAGAGAACAGAAAGGACATCGAATTAGTCCCCTTAAGAAAGATAGAAGGACAAAACTTGCAGAGAATAAAACATAAGACAAAAAGGGAAGAACGTAGTAGGAAAATGTGGTGCGAACCCATTTCGAAGCAAGATAACTCAGGTACAGTGTATCAGGGTTGAAGGGCGGCTGTTGAACGACGGCAGCGTGCGCCTTGACATATTTATAAGTACCAGATGCCAGAGACATGTAGATGCCCAATACTGTATGTCCAACAAATCGAAGGACGCCAGAGGGGATACCACTGCCAAAGACAAAGGCACCATCATATTCTAGCCACTTCATACTGACTCGACTTCAATAACGATTTGAATTTTTGTGTATTTCTATCAGCTTGACAGCAAAGAGCGGGCAAGACAGGCTCGCATGGCATTGGAAGAGAAGAGAAATCGAGAGAAAACAACAACGATGACCCAAGAGGGCAATCGTTGAACGTATGGTCAACCATGATGAAAGCAGATGGCTTTATATGATCATTCCCAAGAGTCCGAGGAATCGTTCGCACTTCGTATCTGCTGCAGGATTCTGCCTTTTGGAGTTGGAAACAGCCGAACGAGGCTCCGTGAAGACGCTGCGAATGACTCGGTGATGCGGTTGAAGCCCTAATTAGCAGGCCCCAATGTCCGTAACTGGCACAGCCCTCTAGTTATGTTAGTTGGCTGTTGCGATGCTGCTTGTATGTTGTTCCCTCCAATTGCGGCCTAGCCATCTGATCCTAGCATTCGACATAATGAACGAGTCAAATACATGACTCAAATAGTTCTATGCTATTGAGGCATGTAGGTTGAGAAAAGCCTTAGGGAGACCGTCACAGTTATCAAAGGAAGGTCGAACATGGGAAGGTTAAATAGTAACTGCTAGTAACTTTAACTAGCTTATTACTTACTCCGTACACACCATGCATGTGCATCCTTCACCTCCTCACACAAGCGCAAAAGATAAACCATAGTCGAGATGTGCAATAGGTGGTAATCGACTAGAAATGTGTTGCCCTGTTGGTCCTGCTCCAGAGTTAGATGTTTATGCACGAATTTTTTGAAGTCATTTATACCTTGAAAATAGATCCACAGATCTCAAAGTCATCAACATGGTAAACCATACTATTGATGAGTAAATTTTCTACTGGAAGACAAAATATTATCTAGCACCAATCCATACACTCTCCCGCTTAGTGGCCTTATTTCATTATACCTTGAAGAAGCAGAGAGAAAACCGGTAGCCAATGGTTGCTAATGTGGAGCTAGTAAATATATATATAGTATTGAATCAGTGGTGCAAATTCATTTCGCTAATATGCACGATTCTTCCCTCGCAACGCCGTCCAGAGTACAGTACATGTTCCGCCAATTACCCAAAACAAAACGTGAAATATGTGCATATCGTGTAAGTACAATTACAGATAAAATTGATTAAGGAAAAAAGGAGCACTTAACACTCTACGCGAGTTTCTCCCATCCTGTTTCGCTGCTCGTCCCACTGCTATTGGCATCCCAATTTAGATCTACCAGGGGACCCGTATGGCTGGAACGGAGACCGAGCATCCATCCTACTAGCCCACTGGGAACTATATTCCCGACGATGGAGTAAGTTCTGGAACCTTTGCCAACATAAACAGTTGGCGGCTTACGTTTGCGCCGGCCCAACCACGACTTGGGGGCCGGGGCGAGGGCATCAAAGATCGCTAAATGCAGGTCTCTGGCCGGACTACCATAAGCTGCACCCACTGATCTTCCAACTCTGTAATCAATACTGGACAGGTACGTTGAGCCGTACAGAGCCCGGTGCTGCGGCTGCCAAGTAAGGACCTCCGTTCCTGTATTCTGATTCCGGTCATTTCGGAACTGGCGACCTAAATCAATGTTCCCAAGTTTTAACTCGATTACTTCGATTCTATTACCAGAGCCGTTGTGGGCTCGTTGTAGATGTCGGAGTTCTTGTCGTAAGCTAGTTGCAAAACCAGATAAACCTCGGGTTATTGTGACTTCTGGGGTTGCGAAAGGCGCAGACAACGAAGACTGTATCGACGGCGAAAGCAAGACTATCGAACTGCTGTTATTTTTTAACGTAAGAAGCGGCAAGAGAAGCTGTGTTGTTAATATAGGGTATAGAAGTCGAGTATTTATAGTATCAACCCAATTTGACGCTGGGATTGTTGCGACAGGCCCCGTGGGAAACTTTGGCGAGGGTACGACAACCAGGCCGCTTAGTTGGCAAACGTGTGGTTGTATTCCAGGCATCAGAGTTTGCGGGTGAGTTATCAAGGATTGAATTGTATGGAGAGAAGGATGGATTTCCGACGGTGTCGAGAGTGTCTATGTTCCGTTAGTCAACATTCAACGCTTGGATTCCAGGGCTATTCCCTACGGTTGTTAAGTCGAGCCACAGTGGGCGAATATCTTCTTGACCCTCTGCTCGAACTGCATTTTCCTCTTCAGATGAAGCAACTGTAATGAAAACGATAAAGCCGCGACGTTCAAGATCATTAGCAACAGACCTGGTCATAGGCTCATGTGGAGAGCCCGCAATAACTATTCAAATATTAGTACTGGTTGCCTGAGAAAATTTGTTGTAAATTTATCGAGAATGGACACATACCCACGATCTCCTTACGCGCGCCATTGCCAGCTCTTCGCGCTTTCCTTTTCTTGCCGCTGAGCTTTTTGCTTCCATAGACCAGGAAAGCTCCAGTTCCAACAAATGCGACAATAGCTGCTGTCCAAGCACGGTTTCTTGATATCCAGTCCTGTACCAGATCGAGGGTGGATTGAGGAGGGAGTGAGGACGGTGATTTCGCCAAGGGTTTTCCAAGCGGCTTAACTACAGATGGCAGCCATGACTGGCGAGCCAACACATCTCGGACAGCTAATGCGAGGTGATCCACATGTTCATTTACTGAGTCTGCAACCTGAGACGAATATTTTTTAACATTGTTCGGGATGGAAGCAAGCTGCGGATGGCAAAAGAGCGTTAGCGTTTGCCACATGTCGTGTAAAGGGTATGCTATCACTTACATAGTCAAAAAAGAACTCGTCGTCGCTTGTCATTATAATTCAGAATCTGTGGTAATTTCTCGAAATGAGTTGGGCATGAGTTGCGAATATAACTTGCGTACTTTTCCTGTCCAAGATAACTGGTTAGTTAACTTGGAAGAACTTGATGATGTATTCGTTCCGCTATGTCAGTGCTCAGGAAAAGCATTATTCCGAATTAGTAATCCATTCGGCTTTCCACGTGATATCAAACTCGAAAAGATTCCATGCTTCATCCACGAATTCGACAGGCAGCCGTTAGCCCTGTGAGGCGGAGGGGAATTTCAACTTGCGGGGAGTCAACAGAACCTTGTGCGTTCTTCTAAATGGCTATCCATATTTGGAGTCATTTGTCATCCGTTGATTATAAATCCTAGCCACTGTGCCTCATTTGGATGGATAGACGTGTGCGTTCTCAAGAATCTATTAACCTTCCCCTGCTGCTTTATTATAGACAAGCTTTTCTCAAGTTAGATACTCATTTAGAGCCTTTGACTTGGGCTACTTGTTGTAACCAAGATTTCCTTTTGCTGTGAAACTGCACCATGCGGGAATTCGATCCGTTGGTTTCTGAGTTCGAGCATCTCAAACACAAGCCGCGTGAGGCCGAGGCATTGACAACTCTGCGAAAAATCGCTTCTCTCGTCAAGCCAATAATGCGCCAACGGGGCTGGAAGGTCGGGACTCTTGCTGAATTCTACCCTGAGCGGAGCCTTCTTGGGATAAATATCAATCACGGCGAGAAAATATGCCTCAGATTGAGGTACCCGTCAGACGACAGTCAATTTCTTCCCCTTGACCAAGTCCTTGATACTATGCTACATGAGTAAGTTACTAATACCTGCATATGGTGTCTATTAAGTTTTTTAACATATTCAGGTTATGTCATATTGTTCATGGCCCCCACAACCAGGAGTTCCATGCGTTATGGAATCAACTTCGTGATGAGCACATGCAGCTCTCTCTGAAGGGCTACACCGGTGAAGGTTTCTTGTCCGAAGGGAAACGGCTTGGTGGCCAAAGGATCCCCATGCATGAAGCTCGTCGCATTGCCCGTGTTGAAGCGGAGAAACGCCGGACCCTCACTGCGGGTTCTGGGAGGAAACTCGGAGGTACTCCTATTTTGCGAGGCACAGATATCCGACAAGTGATTGCAGATGCCGCCCAAAGACGAATAACGGTAACCAAAGGATGTGCCAGCGGAACAGTCGAAGGAAGAAAGTTGGCGGACGAGGCATCTAAAAATGGCTTCAAAACCAAGGCAGAGGAAGAAGATGCGAATGAACAGGCTATTATACAAGCGTACATTGAACTGATTCAAGAGGAAGAAAAAGAGCAACATGGGCACTCATATGTTCCTCCGAGCGGAAACAATCCCCCTGGATCACGCTCATCCTTGTCTCCCCCGCCCATCCCCAGGGATACCAAACCTAGCACGGACTCATCTCGACGAGAAAAGCCATCTAGCCAACCCTTTATCGGCATGACGGAAGACAATATTCCTGACTCTGAGAGTTGGGTTTGCCCAGTATGCACACTTGTGAATCCACCATCGTTTCTCTGCTGTGACGCTTGCACGCGAGAGCGACCACCACAAGCCAAACATGTAGCAACGCCTGAGAAATCTGTGAAACGTGCTCGTACTGAGCCCCAGTCTTCCACTAGTGGAATAGGCCGAAAGCCACGAAACAAAGCCATCCAGGCACTTCTTTCACTGGAGAAGAAAATTCCGGAGAAGCCCCTGGGATGGGTTTGTCATTCCTGTGGTGCTTTCATGGAAACACGATGGTGGACTTGTTCTGCATGTGGGACAATGAAGCAATCGTCTTAATGGCTGAGTCTGCCATAAGCTGCCAGTAATGATTTGTGAATTATGAATCTAATTTTGAAACAAATTTTGTTCTGCGGGTTCGGCGTGGCGTCTCGGCATGGGGCTTCTTTTGATTGTTGGATTCTATCAGGCTGTATATAGCTAGCTACCTTTCTCTACAAGAATATTAAATTCAATCTCTCTCTCTCCCCTCTTTCCCCTCTGTAACTTGAAACGTCACCCAGAATATCATCACGTGATCTTCAATGAAAACGGAGCCCGAAATTTTTTTTCTTTATTGTTTGTTGGTTTTGGGGGTTTTGTTGAAAGATTTTTCCACACAGGCAGCACAGTTTCTTCACGAAAGATAAATAAATAAATAAATGAAAATTAAAACAGGAACTCGCTTCTATCGGCAACTATCAGCTAATATGTGAGTAACACAATTCATACTATCCCTTGTCTGCACAATTTACCCTGGCTTTGAGAGCCTGTATTTCCCAACCCACCAACCAACTTTACATGATGAGATACAATCAAGAACCAAATATATTTTAGGAAGAGCCGGAAGAGGTATGGCATGCCGTCACTATTAAACCTCATGGTGCGACAGTTGCATTACATTCCCAGCAAAGGATTGAGATTTTCCTCCTCCACCTCTCCGTTTTCGATTTTCATCGTCATATGTCTCTTGATATCGGAAGGCAGGCGGAGGTTGTAAATTTTCGATTCTCTGCTGTGGGATGGCACCTGAGCTCTGTGCGGGACGGTTTTTAAATGTCGTCGGTGCTTAGAATGGTTCTACTGAGAAAAGGAGAAGCAATAAAAACATGTTATCGCACAGTGCCGTGGTCTATTCTTTGCTCTTCTTCCTTCAGAGAAGGAACTAGGAGCTGGAATTCCGCAGTACTGTTGTGAAACAATTTTATCTGCAATTTTATAACCCTGTTCACGCTTTTGTTTTGCGGACTCAGATGGCTGATATATTTTGCAATTTAGAATCCAGACCCCCTTCCCCTTCCAACGGACGTGTCGTACTGAGTGAGTAGAATCGAGATATTTGCTGATAAGAGTTTGGATAAATTCCTCGTATTTATATGGGATAATACTGAATGGTTGCATTCATAACTGAGTCTGCGTGCTATGCTAGTAGTGATTTCTATCAGGCTGGATTGATCGTTGGAGATTGAACTCAGCCCGTATTGTACAGGAGAGCCATTATTTAGTTCGTTTAGAATGAGCAGGAGTGTCGTAGTAATGATATAAACATATTCTCTACAAGAAAATGCATTAATTGAAATCTATTCCATCAAAATTCCCGAAGAAACCATTTCTGCTTATACTCCCAGAGAGACAAGCCCCTTTCAACTCCAAGATATGTAGCCGTTGGATAAGACATCGAAAGTCAACAACAGTATTGCACAAAATCAACTCTTCATAGACCATACCCTTTATGAAACATTCACAAAATACCGCTTCTTGCTGCCTTTTACCTGTTGCTCTTCCTTCTCCCACAAATTCTCATCAATGTAGTTTGAACGGCCACGTTCCCGGACTTGGTTGCCTATGAACTTGAGGGCTGCAATATTAAATCCCATTTCATCTTTCTGCCTGGCAAGGACATTCCGCAGGTTGCCCCGAATACCATCAAGCATTGGTCTCATCATTTTGCTCGCCACAATTTGGCGGTGATGCGTTCTGAGCATGAAGAATAAGACACGACAGGTCAGCGGGATTTCCCATGCATTCTTTGCCCAGATATTCAGAAATGTGAATAAGGCCGGCAGTTTTGAAAAGGGAAGAACGAGGAGGGCATCTTGGAGTGCTGCTGCGGGAATTTTCTGTATGACTTGGAGGACATGGCGTTCTGCGGATATGTTGCCAAGGGCTAGATAGACGGGATTGCGCGATGGTGGTGCAGTTTTGGGATTGGTTGATTTCAACTCCGTCCACTCTCGCATAAGCGCAAGGTCTTCGATTCCTAAATCGAGAGCCTCTACAATCTTCTCACCAGCCATGAGAGTTGTAATTGTTTGTTTGCTAGCAGCCGCTGCCTCTGCTTTTTCCTGCCCTTCTGCGTCCTCATCTTCTTTATCCAGTGAGGTCGCTAACGTGCTGTCGTAGAGCTCTTCCAATTCCCTTTCCCGTTCTTCTTCCAAGAAAATCTGCTCATCAGTTTGTTCCCATACTCGGATACTTTTATCATGGCTTGCAGTAACGATGAATTCTCCAGAATGGCTGACGGCAAGAGACCATATCTCGCCATGGTGCCCTTCAAGCTTTTGAATTTGCTCGAATTTATCACCGTCCCAATACTTTATCACCCGGTCCTTGCTGGCGCTGAAGAAGTGGTGGCCATTGCCCTCGTTATTATTCGGTATGAAGGCTACTGCCATGATGCTGTCTTGATGCGCGAAGAAAGCCTTGTGACAGTCACCAAAGTCCAGGCCCCATAGCCGTACGTTCTTATCCGCAGAGCAAGTGACGATTAATTTGCTGTCGTAAGATATATCCATGTTAAGGACAGGAAGCTTGTGGCCGTATAGGATCAAGAAGAGCTTCAGAGTGTCAACGAAGAAAACTTTCACGGTGTTATCCAATAGCGCTACAGCAATGAGTCGCGCATCAGGAGAGAAGCGAATACTTAGGATATCATCGTTCACCTTAAGAGTCCTCGTGTGAACTAGTTTAAGGCGAGGAGTCGTCCGCTTCGTTCCCAGAATTGCCTCTTGCACAACCTTAAACTCCCAGAATTTAGCAGTTTTATCAGCACTTCCAGTAACCATAGATTTTCCATCAGGGTGAACATGAAGCGCCCATACTGGGCCCTCGTGCGCTTGTATTGTATCCAATAATGTAGCTGAGGCAATATCGAATACTTCAAGTTCTCCGTTCTTATTCCCCAGTACCACGATTTTGTCACCAGGTAGGAACGCGGAGCACAATGAGTAACCACATTCCAGAGTTCGTAAACATGTTTGAGTTCGCACATTCCAGATCTTCAAAGTGCCATTCGAGGCGGAAGAAAGCATCCTATCGTCAGAGCTCAGGGCAAGCGATCGAACGTCCGTGCGGTGACCCGGCATATCAATCGATAATATGCGGTTATATTCTGAATCCTCGCTGCTTTTCGATTTCTGCCTCTCCACAGCAACTACACCGTACACTTCAAGTTGGTTGTTACTTGTTGCGGCGAGCATCCTGAGGCCTTTCCCACCCATCCAATCCGCTGAACGAATTTTCCCTTGTATCCTAACGATAGTATAGGACACGAAAACTTCGGATATTGGGGCTGCAGAGATAGAGTCTGGGTTTTCAGCATCCGCGCCGTTTTCCAACTCGTGTCCAGCGCCTTGCTCTCCAGCCTTTTCTCGTCTCCGTTTCCGTTTCCTTGCCAGACTCTTTTGGATCTCAGCCTCCGTCCGTATTCTCCAGATCTCGATTGACTTTTCAGCTCCATGAACCGCGACGTAATCCAACCTCGGATGGAAGTGGATGCCCATTGTTCGGTCCTTGCCCTGTCGATATAAATTGCCCCTATCCACAAGGATTTTGCGGCCGTCTGCGGCTCCAGTTTCTTTTGCTACTTCATTCATCACAGTTGCATCGATGGACCACACTCGAAGTTCGCCATCGTTCCCTCCAGTAATACACCCACTCTGATCGGGTGAAAGCCCAAGTGACCAACATTCCCCATTGCTTTGCGCTACATGGGTTTCGATGCAGTGCTGAGACGAAAGGTCCCAGATTTTGATTAAGGAGTCTTTCCCGGTACTCAAGAGAAAGCGGTCCTGGGAATTGCTACTTTGGACTTCAGTGTCACTGATGCTTGATCCGTCCAAAAAGTTGACAGACGTGATTTGGTCTGTGTGCCCACGTAGTTTGACAATCCCAACCTCTGCGATCAAATCCCACACTATAATATCGGTGTCTTTGGAACCACTGGCCAAACGCACTCCTGCACCGTCAAATGCCAATTGGGTAATTGCGGTTTTATGGCCATTGAAGGATATCATAACCGTCGCTAGTCTCGAATCCCATAATCTTATTGAGCCATCCTCATACCTATTTTACCTCATATTGTCAAAATCCCGTTCATAATACCTGGGAGAGGCGATTCAAGTCTTACCCAACCGCGAAGATATCTTGATCTGTTTTGCTCTGTGAAATAGCCGTAACCTGTGCGCTGCAATCCGAATCCCGCCATCTGCTGAGCAATTCACCCTTCTTCACATCCCAACATATCACCTCCTCTCCTGCTCCGACAACTGCTCGTCCTGCACCAGTATGTCGTGTTTCGGCAGAGACATCTTCATCGGGTATCCAAACCGCATTTGACGACGCAGCAGTGATAACGCCAAAAGTCTTCGAAGGCTCGAATTTCCTAAAAGCACAATCAGTGGTCTATAATCCGTAAATAAAATAGAGACATTGCAAATCCTCTACTCACAGGTACGATTTGACCATTTTTCCGTCTGGCTGCTCAAACAAAATTTCGGCTCCAACTTTTTTGCAGCATTCGGTATTGATACGGTTATTTTATCGCATGAAACGGCTAGCGTCGAGGCTACGGCGCCCAGCACAGACCATCATGGCAGCGCTTTCCATTTCCTACGTGTTGCGGCGCGGGCAACTCTTTTCAGGCACAGCGGCTGGGACTATACATATATATACCTCTGTTCACTCCAACGACTGTAGTTGATTGCGCAGATTGTCATGATCCCCAACCTGTCATCATGCTTCTCTTAGATTACCAAAATGTTCTTATCCAATCTCTCCTGACAGAGCGATTCTCCGGGTATGTTCCAACTCGAACCACCCCGCTGACTAGCATACATCATCGCCTATCCGCTTGTCCTAGCCTTCCCACCCGATAATTACCATTTGCTAACATGCCTGGATCATAGAGCGCCTCCCGTATCTATTGACCAAATTGTTTCTGATTTCGACGGTGTCACATTCCATATTTCCACCCCCGAAGCTAAATCCAAAATCCTCATCTCCATCTCCCTCAAATGTTTCCGCGAGCTAGTGCAGTACGGAGCACAGAGTGTCCTCGAACGGGAATATGGACCATTCATTGTCTCCCCAGAGCCTGGATACGATTTTTCAATTGTAGTTGATCTGGAGAATCTCCCTGCGGAACCAGCGGGTAGGGAAGACTTGGTTAATCGTATTGCGCTCATGAGGCGGAATGTGATGGCCGCGCCATTTGAAAAGGCATTCGATGAATTTGCCGAACTACAGGAGGAGGCGGCGAGATACACTTCTGAATCAGCGCCCCAGGGTGTGGCGGAAGGAGGTGAGGTTATGGCAATCCATTATCGGGAACAGGAAGCAATATACATCAAGGCCAGCCACGACCGGGTGACCGTGATCTTCAGCACTATTTTCAGAGATGAGACGGACAGGATATTCGGCAAAGTGTTTCTGCAAGTATGTTTCACATCTCCTGCTATATACCCCATTGAAGAGAATATATGTTGCTTACGCACTCTCAGGAATTCGTTGACGCAAGAAGACGGGCGATCCAAAATGCTCCACAAGTACTTTTCCGTCATGATCCCCCGCTTGAACTTCAAGGCATTCCGGGGGTTAAGGCTTCCGGAGACGGCGATGTCGGTTACATTACTTTCGGTACTCTTGCTACTCCTTGCTTCCCCATTGCCGCCAGTACACTAGGCACTGACAGTCCTCTCCAATGCAGTTCTCTTCCCTCGCCATCTTACACCCCAACGACGTGGAGAGAATATCTCCCACATCCAGATCTTCCGTGACTATTTCCACTACCATATCAAAGCTTCCAAGGTACTTACATGACTTAATCTGTCCATCATTTATGCCAGCTAACCTTTGGAATAGGCATATATCCACTCGAGAATGCGGAGACGAACAGCGGACTTCCTACAGGGTATGTATCTACGGTTTTGGACATATATGTAAGTTACTACGTATGAAACTAACTACGAAACTATAGTTCTCAATCGTGCCCGACCGGAGAATGAGGAACGGGAGAGAAAGACTGCAAGCGGCAGGACATTCCGTGTTCAAGGTTGAGAAGTTGTGGAGGAATAACGACTGCGCCCATTTTTATGGATCCCTCTTAGATGTTTTCAGAAGTTCCTGTGCTATTCGCACTTTTATGTCACTTTATTTACCGCGCCGCGCTTATCTGTGCATGTTCGTCATTACGCATCAAGATGAAACCCTCCTCAAGGTCTACAAATGCATCCTCCAGGCTTGCTGGGTACTGATAGCGCCAACGCTGCCCCGTATTGATAAATCGTTTCGCTTTCAAAAGTACTTGCTTGTTTGAGGATTTGATATGGAACTTAAATCAGATCGTGATTGCTTCAGATCGTGATTGATTCACTAGTGACTTGCCTTCGATCGCCTTATATACTTAGATGTATTGTTCTACGTTAAGAAAATTAACCAATGAAGCCAGATATCAACAATATACATAGAAGCCCAGCCTGTTACGGTACTATCGATATACCACCGCAATCCCTCATAACGTCCTGTGTGTTGAATAAAACAACAGTCTCATGGAATTATCTTTTAAGAGCTAGAAAGGACATAAAAAAGAGGGGAAACACAAAAAAATCATGAAAAATAAGTATAAAAGAATAAAGAAAGGAAGAAAAGAAAGCGACGAGATATTATGATTTATATAATGGTAATATCAAAACAACACAGATAATAGATATATAGGCCGTGAACGTCAAGAAAACAAAAATTATATATCAGTCTTCAAAGAAATTCAAAATAGCCCTTATGCCCTTGGAACCCATTCCATGGCGTGGGTAAGCAATGAAAAGGGGCTCCTCAAAAGCGCCCAACTTAGCTCTGAACTCTGTCTTGCGATTCAGCCCGAACTGTTTGACGAGGGTATCATACGTGGTCTGGAGCACTTTTCCTTTGGCCGAAGACATGTTATGTCCCGGTATTAGATTTGAAGCCGCTCCCGCGCCAAACGTCAGTGACTTGACGCCGGACCTGCCTGTAGCTTGAATGGCATGAGTGATGAGGTACTCGATAGACCCCGACGGTGCGCCAGGGAAATCCAGACTATATTTGATCTGCATGTGGTTCGCTCCCAGCCTGGCTAACGCGACGAAGGAGCAGACGGTTCCATTTTTGTCGGCGGCATAGTAGTACTGGTAATTGCGCGGGCTTCGCCAAGGCTTGATACCTGACAAATATATCTGAGGGCCCTTGCGGTTTTCCCGCCATTCTTTGATCCGCGCGTCGATTTTCGAAGTGATATCTTCTGGAAGCGGTCGGTCGCTTGGGATATGGTGGACCTTCACGCCCTCACGTTCTGCCTGGCGAATCTTTTTGGAAATGTCGGCGTCCGCCGCAGCTTGATTGCGCGATGGATCGATACGGGCTTCTCCGACGCAAGAAAGTGTTCGCCAGCCCAACTTCTCACCTAGGATTTCTTCGACTGGCCGGGAACAGAGGATCCAGATGGGCTTCAAGTGTGTTTCTGCTTTGAGCCAGCGGAGAAAGCGGATGCTTACTTTGGCGTACTGGCTCGGATCACATAATGGATTGCCAGGAATTATTGCGAAGCCGTGAGTGCTGGGGACGTATGCTATTGCTGCACCGGATGTATAGTCCCGCCAGATCTTATATTTCTCGTCGGGCCACGAGGTTGATGTTGCGTCACCATAGTTGGCGATGAGTTCATCCAAGGGTTGGAATTTGCGATTCTTGTCGATTCCGGTATGTTTCTGATTGCCTTTCTTCTCCCATGGAGGTTCAAGCGTGGAAGATTCAGGATAAGGGAGGATTCGTGACGTGTCTGGCATATCTTGAAAGCTCTTTGGGTCTCTGTGGAACAGCGAGGCTAGACGGATGTTTCCAAGTTTCAATATTAGCATGAGCAATCTTTCCAGGCCGATTCCCGCACCGGCGTGAGGCGGGGCGCCCCAACGGAAGCCTTCCAAGTACTCTTCCATTGCTAATGGGTTGATACCAGCTTCCTTCATTCGCTGTTCTAGAATCTTTTCGTCGTGGATGCGCTGGCCCCCGGAAACAATTTCTTGGCCTCTGACAAATATGTCGAAAGAATTGGTGAAATTCGGGTTCTCAGGATCTTCCATGGCATAAAATGGCCTTGCGGACTTGGGGAATTTATCCAGTATGTAATAATCTGTGTGATACTTTTCCTTTATCAATTCTCCCAATCGGATTTCATCACGCGTCCCCAAATCTTCGTTTACTGACAGCTCTTCACCATCTTGGCGCCACCCGCTGTCATTTAGAAGTTTTATTCCCTCCGCGAACGGTATGATTGGAGTCTCGTCTAGCCATATCAGGTCTTCATGCGGGAATTGGCCTTTGATGATGTCTACCTCTCTTCGATAGCGCCCATAAATCCCTTTGAAGATCTCCTTGAGGACAGAGTCGATAGTCTCCAGCGCTTCGTGGTAATGCTCCTCTATCGCCATCTCGATATCCAAGCCCGTATATTCCGTCAGATGACGATGCGTATTTGAGTTCTCAGCGCGAAATACAGCGCCGATCTCGTACACACGCTCAAAATCAGCTGCAATCGCCATCTGCTTGGCAAGTTGTGGACTTTGAGCCAGGAAGGCTTCCCTTGTAAAATATTTGACCTCGAAAACGCTAGCACCAGACTCGGTGGCTGAGCTCTGTAATTTCGGTGTATGAATCTCAATGAATCCCTGAGCGTCCAACGCAGCACGGAACAAATTGCTGATTGCACTCTGGATTCTGAATATGGATTGGGAGGTGTCGGTTCGCAGGTCTAGGATACGATTAGAAAGGCGGGTCCGATCCAGGACGTGGTTGCGCCGTCCATCAGTATTCTTTGCATCTTTGTTCAACAGCTCTGCTTCGTAAACACTGAACGGGATGGGATCCTCCCTATGAACAACTACATGAAGCTCTTGGATATCGAGCTCCACGTCATGGATCGTACATCCCGTAACAGGGACCTTAGAGCTGGAGAGTACCCCTCTAACCTTGACAATCGACCCCACTCGGATCCGCTCGACCCATTGGACCATGAGAGTTGATATCACCCCAGGCTTTTCTGCCAGCACGCCTTGCATCGTGGTGACTTGCTGTCTGAAAATGACGAAAACCAGTTTCGAAGACATGTTACGAATATGATGCACCCGAGCACGGAACGTGACCTCCTGACCGATCGAGTGAGGCGTGATATTGTCAAACTTGATCAGATTTTGCCGTGGACGCTGTTTCGACTGCATCAACGGTAAATCTCCATAGCGGGCTTTCATTTCATCGGTTTCTTCTCGCGCCGCTTGCGCATCACGCTCCCTCTTGAGCGATTCCGATCGCTCGCTTATCTCCCCGCTAATTCTAGCCCTGGATTCTCTCTTGAGTTTCCGTTCATGGCGATTTTGCTGTTTCTTGCTCATGAAATCACTGTCATCACTAGGTAAATCGTCACTGGAGGATACGACATCTCTATCGAGGAAAAAGCTTGCGAGGCTTTTTCGAGGAGACGAAGGGGACTCGTTATCAGAGTTTGGTCTTGTCGTGTCCTTTAGCCTCGTAAGTGCCGTTTTGATAGCAACGTTGAGGGATAAACTCCTTTGATGCCTTTCATTCTGTTTCCCTGCTCCTTGTTCGACAATTGGAACCGCCTGACTCGATCCCGTCATGCTGAACTTCTATAATTCCAGTCTAAGATCCAGCGGGCAAAGAGAGAGAAGGGAATGAAAAACAGAAATTGGGCGGCAAGACAACGTCACCGCCTCCGATTTTCTTGTTTCGCCGGAATATCAGTCAGCATCTGAACAAGGAAGGCGGGGTTCATTGGGGAAATAAGAGGAAATGTACCTGAAATGGCTCTGTCTTAATAAGTGGCGCTAAACGCAATGGTGATGTAGAATGGCTTTTAAATTTTAGGTTTCGAAATCATCATCTGGTTCGAGAAAGTTGTTCTGGGGGCCTCGATATCTAAGTAGTCCGTAGAGAGTCCCTAGAGCAAGGAACACACTGGACGCACAACACCAACCATCATTTCTAATTGATGCCTACCGTCCTGAAAAAGGAAAAGTTTTGATTAGTGTAGCTGACCAACAGAAGAGAATACGGGAGAATTTTCTAAGTTGGCCGGCTCAGCGCGGGTCGAGAACCTTCGGGTTGGGGAGAGCCCGAGGAATCCGTCATAGTTGCTCAATGACAGGTGATAATTCGCACATCCCCGCCACCAACGGGACCAAAAGAACAAATCCACCGAAAGCCTCATTTCTCGTCTGCTAGTCAACTACGCCGTAGTTAATGTCGGCGGATTATTAATGTGTGCCGGAGGTGCATTTCGCCCCTGCAACAGAAGTGAACTAGCGCATGCACGCTGACAAGAATCCCATGACGTCATATCTCCCACCTCGCCGACCGGCCAATCACATGAAGGACGGATTTTGACAGGGACTTTGCAATGCCTGTATCCTCCTATTTTCACCTTATCGGCAACACCCCACTCTCAGACACCCTCAAACACCTCTCACGCTCAATACAGGCATGGAGGTGGGATTAGAGGCGGGAATTCAACGTTGGAATAAGGGATTTGATGAGGAGGTGAGGATGACTAGTAGTTGAGAGCGTGAGGATCCGAGAAACATCGAACCCCACAGCGGTCCACAGAGGCAGAAGAGGGGTTGAAGGATGGCTCGAAAACCACTAAGTTGAACAAGGCGCAAAAGTGTCAGCTCTGAGCCCCGCCATGGGAATTCAATGTTGTGTTTTTCGCTGAAAATTTGACCCATTCCACTGGACGTCCCGCCATCCGGCAACTCCGAAGTACCGAAATTTCCCACAGCTCATAACCTTTATTTTTCGTCCCTGGAAAGACCAAGGGCCTCACGGTCCCAGAATGCTCCGAGATGCCTGCGGGTTCGCTTCCTCCAGTAACTCTATAGAGCCTTGGCTCGAGCTGAATATATAAGGGTTGAAACCGTTATACGTTGAACTTCTTGTTCAACACCAGATCGATCTCTTTTGGGATGCAATTGGTAACCTACTTTGGTCAGCCAGATTCGGGGGAGCAAGGCCTTTGGACCACCCCAACGATCAATGAATGAATCATGGACGGACATTGGCTGGTAGGTGACTTGTGTGTCCTAGGAATTCGAGGCCACGGATTTGCCAGATTCAGCAAAAGATGACCGGCACTTGTTCGAGGGAATCTGGGTCTCATGGGAAAATTCCGTGGATGGAAATACTATTATTTCTTGGTTGCTAGCAAATATTCAATGAGGCTTCCCATAGTTGGCTTGGTACATTCCTTGCGAACTTGTCAACCCCCATCAATGTAAAGAACGAGAAAGTAGCCATACAAGAGGCCAATGAAATATTTCCGACCTCATGGAAAGAAGTAAGGTGCTAATAACGAGAAGTGGACTTTGAATTAACAGTTTGTTTGATTGCACCCAGCGTTCAACAAACCACAGATACGCAATAACAAAGACGGTGTATGGCCGGATCTGCTCTTCCGCCTTTCAACATCTTCACCATATTCCAAGAATATTGTTGAAAGTTCCTACGGTTAGTTTTAGACACTCCAAATTCGTAGGTGCCTTTTATATATTTCCCACTGAATCGAATCCATAACAATGTGGCGCAGCTGCAACTTCCGCAGGCTAAAATGCTGTATCAGCAAAGTAAAAACCCCTGCAGCGACTTACTCAGGGTCTCAAACCGCATTAACAAGCACAATCAACGCGTGTCAAACTCCGAACTTTCGCCGAGCAGCAAGATACATTGCCTACTGATGGGGGATGTACTGTACAGTACCATCGCCCAAGACAAGTTTCGCCTTGAAAGGAATTGCAGGTCTTCTTCCCGACGAGGGATAGAGGCACCAGTGAGCACTCAGCTGTATGGGGCTACCAAGATAAATGATCACTGGAACGGATTGCTAAATGGTTAGCAACCCAACCCATTCTCCGCTTTGATATAGAGCTTGTATGACTTGATCTGCCTTGAGGAGGGTTAGCAATTTTAGGTGGAAGTACTGCCAAATTACTCATCTCTCTCATACCTTCTAGTTAGTACTCATGTTGTTACTCATTGCACAGCCTTGTATATCCATAGCGAGTTTGAACACCGCATACCCGACAAGAGCGAGTAACGTCTCCCCAGCACCATTGACAGTGCGGCCGCCTGAAATGCTTTTCAGAGCAACAGGATATCATCGAACCCGTAGACAAGGATCTTTTGAACAGCCCAGATGCCTTCATCCACTGAGATCAAGCCTGGGATGGTGGAGAAGTACCTACGACAGACACCAAGGGTCAGTTTTGGGTGCATCTATACGGGATCGAGAGGCAAAGTTTAACAGCGCGCTAAGATGTTAGGGCCACTTTACACGTTACAACCTTCGACCGCAGTAGTGATAGTGATGTTCAGTACGGAGTTACATTCCTGACATTCAGTAAGCAAAGGGTATATCAAGATTCGTGGGGTCCCCTTTTGCAATCGACAATTAAAACATGGACTGAAATTGAAATTCCAATCTGTGCTCCACGCATCACCCTCTCCCCTCTATCTTGGAGCGATGGCTCCACTAACACAAGCGTCGAAAAGCCCAAATGTCCAGTTGTCGCGGCGCAAGCAACATAGCCGCCGAGGGCTGCGCATCAAAGCCATTATCCTCCGATTCCTCATGAAAATCGGCATGGTTCTTCATGGCTACCCATTCCCCAGACCACCGTTACCACATTTCACCCGATTTATTCAACCTTCTCCCTCCTCCGGTGCAACCCTGGCGGTCCCTTCCCATTCCCGTTGTCCCTCTGCCTCCCCTCGATTACGAAATATATGCTTACACTTCTACACTCCGTTCAACTACCAAACAAACTCCCCCGACGGCAAAAGGTGGCCGGTGGTCGTGAACTTCCACGGCGGGGGGTTCACCATTGGGTGCGCAACGGATGATGGCCGCTGGGCGCGCATCGCCGTTGAAACCACTCACGCCGTCTTCGTGAGCGTAGACTATCGGTTAGCGCCCGAGAACCCTTTCCCAGCTGCCGTAGACGATGGCGTTGATGCGTTGCTGTACCTCGAGGCCAATGCAGATGCCTTTTCACTCGATATGACCCGCGTGAGTGTGACGGGGTTTTCGGCAGGAGGCAATCTTGCCGTTACCGTCCCGTTGCGTTTACAGCACCGCATCATGCAACATCAACAGCTACAACAACAGCAGCAGCAGTGGAAACAGCAACCCCAGGAGCAGGAACAATATCGACCGGAGTCCCGGCAGCACATCCCAGACAGCGATATGAGCGACGATGATATCGGATTAGTAGATTCCAACCAATTCCTTCTGAACGGAAGCGCTAGCCCGGCCCGTTCACAACCATACCCAGAAACACCCCCCAAAATCAAACTCCTCAGCATCTTCGCATGGTACCCCATCCTCGACTTCGTAACAACCCGCGAAACACGCAGCAGCCGCTCCAAGAACCCCGATAAGTGCCTCCCAGATTTCCTCACCACCCTCTTCGACGAGTCCTACATACCCGACCTGGCAGATCGCGCCTCGCCGTTTGCCTCGCCTATCCACGCATCCGATGACATCTTGCGCGAAGGGCTTCCGGCAGATATCTTCATATGTATGTGCGAGTGGGACATGTTGCTCGAGGAAGGGCGGGAGTTCGCGCAGCGGCTGGAAGGGATGGGGAAGAAAGTGCGGTCGATGACGGTCGCGGGACAGCGGCATGCGTGGGATAAGAGCGCGAACCCGCTGCGGGACCAGGGGTCTGTGGATGCTATATACAGACAGGCGTGTCAGGAAATGGAGCTTATTTTTGAGAGGGGGCGCAAGTAGATGTAGATCAAGACTAGTCAGGCTGGGTTGTCTGACTGCTTCTTTTTGTTGTCTTATGTATATATAGTATAGTATAGTATAGACTTGGTTTTATTTGACTCTTCTGATGCAGGCTCCTCCCTTTCTTAGCTCTTGATTTCCTTTGATGGCATATGTTTTTTATATATATCGGTTTGGTTAGATTTGCATGTTATATCTATATCTATATCCTTTTTATATCATGGAGTATAGAGATGATCCGCAACTCATTGGCACATACATTATTATATTATGGAACCGTCCTCCAGGAGTATCGAGCCCGCCCGCCCGCCATCCATCTATCAAACTAGCTTAGCTTGTTCTTTGTTCAGAAACACTATTTATTTATTCCTTTTTCCTTTTCACTCTCTTTTATCTCCCCCCTTCAAAACAGTTCACGATCTGCCCTTACTTATCACTCCTGTCATCTCAAATTAACGTACAAAGCCCAGATCCCATGAGACAGTAAATAAATGAATAAAGAACGACAACATAGCTTAGGCCCATCCAATTCCGTTTAATTAAAATGCCATCTCTACATCGCTCCTCTTCGTGTTTTGTTTGAACTGCAAAAATATTCTTCCAATACCTCGTGCGCCGTGACCGGAATGGAGGATATAAATTTATTCGACCAGGCGAGAATAGGCTGAAAGGGAAAGGAAAGGAAAGGAGGAAAAGAAAAGAAAGAAAGAAAAAAAATCCAACATGAGGCCGACTAAAATGGAAATAACAGCAGTGGAAATAATAGGGAAAATAGAGAAAAGCGCTGAAAACATGGGGAAATGGCGTAAAAAGAAGCTGTAAAGAGAAAGGCAAAAGCAAACCAAAAAAAAAAAAAAAAAAAAAAAAAAAAGCCCCAACTCCAAGCAAAAGTTTTCTGGAAATTGTCAATGTATCCCCCTTTTTCAAAAATTTGACCACTAAAAGCAGAAAGTAATGCAGGACTCATCAAACCCGCTTTACATTTAGAAAGGGGAAAAGGGGAAAGAGAAGCGTGTGACATGGACAGAAAAATCAATCAACAATCAACCAACAAATCAATCCTCATCTGTCCCCGTCATCCCCTCCTCTTCACTCTCCACCTCATCATTCACCGCCACACTCCCATCCGTCGTCTCATCATCATCAAACTCATCCTCGTCCTCCCGATCATCCACCCCTGGAATCCCCCTCCACTCCAAATAATCATCCACAACCCACCTCCGGCTCCTGGGCAGATGATACGGATCGAACGGGAAATATGCATCAAGCTGCGGACCCAGGTCGTCGTCCGCCTTGATCTCGCGCTCGACGTTGCCGAAGCGGGACTGCATCGCCAGCACCGCGCGGCTGCGGAAGGAGGAGATGCGGATTCTCTTGTTCGTCTCGATGAGGGTGTAGAGGTACATGAAGTGGAGGTGGTGGGTGAGGCGGGCAAACTCGGAGACGATGGCTGGGGAGCAGATTTTTAAGGGGTTGAGTTTCGAGTTGATGGCGGGGGAAAGAACATTTTTGATCTGTGGAGGAAAGCGGGCGTCGTCGAGGTCGAGGTCATATAACCAAGTTGAAGAGGCCGGGGTGGTGGTGATGTCGGCATCTAGCGCGGCGGTGGTCAGATCGCGCCAGCGGAAGCAGAAGATGTAGAGGAGGGCTTGGGCAGTGGAGTAGAAAGGACCGTAGCGTTTCAGGTCGGGTCCGCGACAAGTGGGTTCGTATTCGGCTTGGAGATTTTGGAGGTGTGTGCCGAGAAGGTCGAAGACGTCGCGGACGACTTCGCTGGAGACGTGGGCGCCGCGGGCGACAAAGCTTGCGAGATATGCAGCGGCATATTGGCGGATGATTGTTGGTTCGGATCTGGAAAAGATGATCTGCACGCAGGTGGTGGCGAAGCGGTCGATGAAGATTGGGGAGGATTGGGAATAGTGGAAAAGGAGGAATTGGGTGTGGCGGGAGCGGTAGGTAGGAAGGATGAGGGTTTGGAAATGTGAAAGGAGGAGGTCGTGGACGGTCTCCTTTTCGTCAACGGTGCCATTGGTGAACGCTATGGAATAGTATTCGAATAAAATGTCTATCATGTAGTCGATCTTTTGCTTGGTGTCTGCACGTTGCTTCGCGCGTTGGGATTCAATGTCGCTTATATCATCGTCATCGCTGGCCAGTGTGTCCGTATCTGACTCCTCGTCATCTTCATCGCCCAATGCTATAGCTTCTGGTGAGGATATTGCGACAGGGTTGTCATCATCTATGTCCTCGTCCGCATCCTCTAGGTCCACCTGGAACTGCACGTCAATTTTCACGAGTTTTTCCGTGATGAGAGCAAGGATATCCGAACGCAGCTCCGGGGCGTAGTCGATGATTTTGATGATGTTCCGCGTATATACGATGTGCGCCTTGGCGGTGTCCGTATCGTGGGGGAAGCTGGACGCAATCAGAGGCGACAATGCACCGCTCCCAGCGGGGATAAGCTGAATGACATACTTAATGGCCATATGAACTCTAGCGTAGATTTCTGAAGGATACACAATTGCATATCCAGGAAGCTTTCCAGTGCGAGGGCCAGCTAAACCAACAGTCAGTCAAACTCCCAACTCGAGAGCAAACAACAAAATAGCAAGAAGACGAAGGAGAAAGAAAGACGATCAACTCACCCTGCCTCAACCCATGAACCAAAACCCTCAGCACAGAATTGAGGTACGTCCCCCTAGCCGCCGCCAACGTGCCCAAAAACCTCACAAACAACTTGACATACTCCTCATCTCTTCCAAGCCACTCACTCCGCAAAACCGCATGTACAAGCCCACTACAGCTCCCATCTAGCGCCGATACGTTCGAAAATAGACCCAGCAGATGATTCCTCAACGACGTCGGAGACGGAAGGTCATACACAGGCGACCCATCATCCTCCAGCTCCGTGGGATCCGCCGTAAATATCTCCTTGACCCGGTCATACGCCTCGCTGTCGCCTATCAAATGTCGCTGGATGGCCCGACGGACTTCCTCGCGCACCATCGCTGTGCTCTTCTCGTTCCTAGTATTCTCGATACCCTTCTTCTCATCACCATCATCATCATCCTGCTCTTGCCGCTGCTGCTGCTTGTTGCTACGACTCGGCATATCTATCTCAAACTTGACGCGGGCCCGCTTCTTCGCGACGGGGGGATGTGTCCTCGCCACGGGACTGCTGGCATTGCCTTCCTCCTCTGCATCCTGATCATCGGATGAAAGCCCCAGGTCCGAAATGGCGGTTGACGACATAACCATGTCGACCCTCTTGCGCTTTTGCCCGATTGCACTTGCAGGAGGTGCAGAGACGTGGGTTTTGAGGATGGATTTCGAAGGCTTCGGCTTCGGCTTCGTAGGCGGGGTTGCCATCATGGCTCTTGAGTTCGCAGCAGTTCTAGTCGAGGAGAATAGCGCCAAAGTCGGAACAAGGGGGGCGGAGGCTGCGGATACCATTTCAATTGGCCGTTCTTCTCTTGGTTGTTAGTGCCTAAGTAGGCAGGCTGATAGTTGATTGATTGACTGATTGAATCCTTGGAGATAGCAGTTTGTGGTAGGTTGGGATGACGGGGACGGATAACTTCAAGTTGGGATGAAAGCATGTATTTAACACCCACGATGAGGCACGCAGACAAGGTATTCCACTGCAACCAGTGACTGAATCCTAGATGTCGAATTCACCCTATATCAGAAGCTTTGGTATAGTAGTGAATTAGGATAACACAAAGCACACCACAAACCCCCCCTCCGTTCGCCCTTCTTCACTGGCTAGGTGGTAGCGTGCTTCGATTTTCTCTCGTTGTAAAATGATTTTCAGACGTTCATATAGAAACTACTTATTTGTGCTTTGTCTTCGACCCGCAATATCCAGGTTTAGGAGAATTCGAAAATCGTTTATTTAGTTTAGAACAACAAATGAACAAATCATATTATTTTCGTTTTGTCCCCCTCCCGACAGACCCGTTGGGTAGGTGATGATACGTAAGACACATGAAGGGATTAAGTATTTTAGGAACCCAGCAAGAACTGTATTTCCAGATATAGAAATAGAAAAGTAACCGAAACAGAGAGGGTGGGAGGAGGAAATGAAGGAGAAGAGAGAGGATAAGTGAAGTCGTGTGTTGAAAGATTTGGCGCTGGGAAAGGAAAAGTAAAAAAGGAAAAAAAAGAAAATCCTGGCCCATTTGAAAGGCGGTGAGGAGATATTCTGCTCGGTGGGGGACATCGCTAGCAGCCTTGTCAACTTTCGACGGCCCCAACCCGGTCCCCGCCATGTTCATACTTTCTTAATGTTGCTGGAAATATAATATCCAGTATCCATTACTCTAAAAATATATAGTATATATCCCACATATTTTCTCCTTGTACGGTGCAGAAGAAACACGAAAGACCAAATACTAGTAAGTATCCCCTGGAACTTTTGGCGGGGAAATCCACATGACTTAAAAACCCTAATTCTTACTGGAACCTTTACTGTATCGTTTTTTTCGGATTCATCGTGTTTTGAGTCACAGCAGGAAAGCTAGCTATGACACACAACGCACACCACACATAGTTATAAGAGAAGTCCTCATAGGAGAAACTCAACAGCAGAGTCGAGTCATTCCAACCCCCTCCTGCTCTCCCCCACAGAAATCAAAAGGGCTAAAAAAAAAAAAAAAAAAAAAAAAAAAAAAGAAAAAAGGAGTCATTCTCATCACCAACAGTTAGTTACCAAGTGAATAAATATCAAAGAACATTCAAAGAATTGGGAAGTTATTCTGCATGTTAACTACAAGTACGGAGTACAGTACAGTAACTTCTGTGGTGTAACGATATCAACGGCCCCCTTCTGAAATATCTCTAACTATCAAATGGATCCATTAAATGTAATTTAATAATGCGGAGGGGCATACCCACTCCAGTGATGGAGACAGGATTTTCTACCGGTTAGAAAAGAAGAGAAAAGAAAAAAATCAAGTTTTTTTTTTTTTTTGTGTGTTGGCGTAAATAAAGGATTACTGTACAGGCAGCCCACATAAGGCCTTCAATTTTTCATCTTCCCCCTTTCCCCTTCCCCCCAGGAGCAATTCTGTTCCAAGGAACTGAATTGAAGTAGCTGCATCACCAAGAAGAGGGAAAGGTATCCCCCACATCCACTCATCCATACATAATCCGTACAAAGTTTTCAAATCCGATGGTCGAAGGCAGGAAGAAAACAGGAAGAAAACAGGAAGAAAACGAGAAGCAAAAGCAAGGGCATCACCTCAGCATTGGAAGAAAAAAGAAAGAAAAAGGATAAGATGTACCCGCACCTACCCCACCTACCTAGAGCTTGTTTCGTGAGGAGTGGGGGGGCAAACGAGGTAGACTAGAGATAACAAAATGGAAAGATAAAAACAATAAATGATAGATAAAATAAAATCAATCAATAAATAAATAAATAAATACATGCAAAGAGAACGATTTGGGGGAATAAATGTAACTGTTAAATTTTTCACAAGCGAAGCCACCCGATCGATCAACATCAGATCAGATCAAGGTGGTAATGGGAAGTTATAAAAAACTCGGCTGGTTAAGAAACGAATGGTAAACCAGATGATAGAGTTGACTGGGGTAGGGGTAAAACGAACGCTCGAAAAGAAAAACCATAAAACCATAACAGTAAAACCCATTCACAATTTAACCGCGCAGGGGGATAGAAACAAACCAGCCAACCAGTAAATCAATAATAAATCGTGACTTGAAAGGGGAGGGGGAAAAAACAGTATTCAGAGCGTTCTATACAAATCTCTCCGTTTCTCATCCCTATATCCACTCATTCACGCTAACCAGCCTCTCCGCAGCACCACCGCCACCATACCCCTTGCCGCCGCTATACTCCACAGTACCAAACGTAGACCGATACAACCCTTCGATCTCAGCAATGTACTCGTCCACCGCAAACTTATACAGTCCCTTCTCCACCAGCATCTGCTCCTCCTCTACAATCACAGCGTTGAGTACCGTAGCGAATTCCTCAGCGACCTCGTTGACCTGCTCTAGCTCCTTGCCAAAAGGGTGTGGCTGTGTGGAGATGGAGGTAGAGGACTCGGGGACTTGGCGGAGGCGTTCTTGGCTTAGTCGAGCGGATCGCGTGCTGCTTTGGGTGCTGTGGGACCGGTTGATTGATTGGGAGCGAGAGTGGGAGTGGGAGTGGGATTGAGAGCGGGAGAGGGAGGAAGTTGATGGTGTATGTGAATGGGACGAGCCCTTAGATAGTGATCGCTGGCGGGCTAATTCCTGATGCGATCTTTTTGTATGCGACAATGATCGACGGGGCAGCGTTGGGGTTTGAGAGACAGAAGAGATTGAAGAGCGGGTGTCGCGGTGTGTGGTGTTGGAGCGCTTGGGAGAGTTGAAGTAGCCAGAGAGATGGTTTGGCTCTGGAGTGGTGGGCGAGTTCTCTTCGGGCGAGAGATCCGGGGAGGTCATCGGGGTGCCGGAGACGTGTGAAGGAGAGGGAATAGAGGACGAGGATGAGGCGGAAGAAGGGTTTGTAATATCTGAGTCTGAACCAGAACGGACAGAGGAAGATGATGAATTGGAGGGGGATGTCAAAGTTTTCTTGAGTTCTGGCGATGGCTGCTGGGCTTGGGGGACCTTTGCGTTATTGAGTTTAGATCTGGGAAGGTCAGGAGCATTGTATGCGAGGAGGTTTGTGGTCGATAACAACTGCACCGGTAAAGAGATATCTTTCCGTTTGATCGTTCCGGCAGCGAATTTCTGTTGGTTTTCGCGATAAGGCATGGGGGAAGACACCACAAGTGTCTTTTGCTGGCGCTTGGTGAACGCCCTGCTCAGGGGATTCGACATGGTGGAAGTCGCCATGGCCAATATCTCTCTGATCTGCTAAACGAAAGTTGGGCTTATATGGATTGTTCAAGGGTTGGTTTCTGGATGAAATCGTGTGCCACGGTGAGAGAAGATGGCCACAGTGCGATGGGAGGGTTGGCGCTTCCCTTTTAGATATCTCCACACACCGGTTGACGCAGCCGCCAGATGAAAAAAAAAATGGGGAATGTAAATTGAAACGACAAGAAAACCCAAGGGGTTATATTCAAGTTCCCAGGCAACGCAACCCCGCGAGCGAGTTTCGGGGCTCGGTTTCGCAATAAAGTAGCTTAAAAAAAATCGATCGATGCCCTGCGCTCTATGTTTTCCTGGAAGTAGGGTACGTACCGGTACCACTTAGGGTAGGGTATGTATGAATTTTGCGCCGGAAGTGGGAAACGAAAGAAAAAACATAGATAGGCCAGCTGCTAGTTTAAAAGGAAGCAGGAAGCACAGTTGGGTCCTGCAATGGCTTGAAAGCAACAGCGGCACAGAGTTGGAAGAGGGATGAAGCAAAGAATGAATAGGAGTTGTTGCTCAGCAAAATCTTGTTGGTTTTGGTTGATGCACGACGAAGCGCGCAGTTGGCAAAGAGGGTGTGGTGATGCGTGGGTGGGTAGAAAGAAAGATGGTCGGAAAAAGGGGCGGCAACCAGGACGCGCGACCAAACAATCAATCCGGAATAAAAAATAAAAAAAGGTCGAAGAAGGAATGTGAGAAGAGAAGGTTTTAAGGAGAGTTGAAGTCAGATAATCGACAAAATGTACAGCATGAAGATGCCCAGAGAAGGGACAAGAAAAAACGAGACGATGGGAGATGGGGAGGAGGAGGAGAAAAGAGAGAAAGAGAAGAAACAGAAACAAAAGAGGAGAAGAAACCCACCGATGCCGTTTGCTTGCTGCTGACGGTGGAAGTGAGGAAGCCCCTTTCAGTTCCTGGTCGTTGGGCGAGATGGCGCGGCGGGCGACGGGGCGAGGATCTGGTGCCAGGGCTCGGTCAGGATGATTTATGGGGGCCTTTTGGTTGTATTTGGTTGTTGCCCATGGCTCTCCCCTCCCGGGTGCAGAGTTGAGTTGGGAGCCCTAGGGACCAGTCGCGCTCCACGAACCCCACCGCGCAAGGCCCGTTTGGACCCGGCCTGAACCCAGTCTGAAGCCAGTCTGAAGCCAGTCTGAAGCCGGTCGCAACAAGTCCCAAGGTCCCATGGAACCTCTTGGCGGGGCTGCGGGGCTGGTGGCCCGGTCGCCAGCCAACCAGCAGCCCGCGCCCAGCCTGGTGCCACCTAGTGCCATGGTGCCTGCAGTAGCCGCCGCAGATGGGAGACGGGCCCTGTCACTGGCTGTCAGGTTCCTGTCAGAGTCTGCGAGCGCTCTCGAAGCGTCCAGTCGAAAACGAAAAAATGCCCCGGGGCGGCCTAAATGCTCACCATTGCAGCCATTGGACACCCTTCGCCTGGTTAGCGGCTTCTGCCAGGGCTGACGCAGCTGGCCCAGTGGGTGTTGATTGGCCCTGCTGCTGAGTGGGCCCCCGAACCTTCAACCGTGCTTGTGCCTGAGAGAAAAAACCCGACCCCTGGGCCAGTAGCGCTGGCACTCTGGCAAAGTCCCAGCTGCCTGACGATGTACGAAGACACACCACCACTGGGGAGAAGATACTCCAGCGTATGGCATCATCCCACTTCATCCGCGCTACGGAGCATCGTACCTTGGGGAAGATTCTTCATCGGAAACAACACGATCACGAACCATAACTAAAACATCAACAGAACTTTCTTTCGCTTTTTCTCGTTTCTCATGGGACATGCAAAACTTTAAAACGCCAACCAAGCTTAATCTGCCACGTTCAAAACAACCTTTTTGAAAAAAATAAATAAATAAAATATTCTCCACTCTTTTTGGTGACCTCACTCTCGTCCACAGAGAGTGTGGGCCATTTCTTCGTTCGCAGGCATACGCTGCGTTGGATTGCGTTACTTGTCCCGGAGTATATTCTTTCTTTTTTTTTGCTGACCTGGACCAGTTAAAGAGGAGAGAGAGAGAGGGGGAAGAAAATCCCTCTCAGCAGCTTTGATGGTAGTTTTAAAAAAAATTTGAAAGGGGAAAAAAAAGGAGGTAATAGTCCTGTACATGCGCGAGTTGGCAATGCTTGAGCTGGCATTATTGTCAACCTCCCACTGGCAACAACAACATTGTTGGTTTTCTTTTTTTCCATCCATACATTCATCATGCCCTGAACAAATGGTAGATGTCTACCCAAAAACTCGATGAAACACATGACCGACAATCAACATCCCAACATCTCACTGTCTCCGATAGATATATACATATATGTATATATATAGTCTATTAAGATCGCCGATCAGGCCCCTTCCCTCTTACATGCAGACTATCCTATATAAAACGCTCCCTGGATCTTCTACACAAAATTCAGTGTAAGCTTTTGGGCGAGTGCTTGGCATCAACCATGTGCGTGCGATCGATCGATCATCCGAATGTTTGATTCATGCCCCACAACCCCTATCATAAGACATTATTCTTGTTTCTTTCTTTTTCTTTGTGGGTTTACCAATACCATTAGCAAATAAAATGCCGTTCCAACAAGCCAGGTTGAAAGACTGGAAGTTGGAGGCTGTAGGAGGTACAGAACTGAAATTGATATTGGCAAAAATGGTGGTATTGGTGGTATTCGACGTCGTCCGGACTCCGGCTCGTGCAAGCGTTTAACTCCCGGGATGAGACGGTCCAAAAATGGATACAGCTACCAAATTCCTCACTCCAGAATCAGCATAACATCTAGATAAGATGAATAGTCTTCCAAAGCGAAGTTTTCCCCAGAGATGGCTTCAGGATTAAGCTCCCTCCATTCTACAGGTTCCCCACCCTGAAAAAATAAAACAAGCCAAGCAAGGAAAAGTTGGTTTCTTTTTTTTTAATTCTTTTTTCCTGATTTCTGAAACGGCTAACTCCATCCTCAAACACCAACTGTTTTCCATTTCTCTCGATCCATCGATTTATCAACTGACGATCGTCACGCGCTCCCCAAACTCCAGTGCCCGCCCACATAGCGCTTCTGGTTGCCACAGTCGATATCGTCTGTGCGGTGGGGATGAAACTGGACTGGAAGTGAAATCAAGTCCCAGCCAGAGAGAGAGATATGGTGATGAAACTTCTATCACAGCTACTACCCAACTCACCCCTCCCCTGGCGACTGATCATTTCTTTTTCCTCTCCAGATGATCGTTAGTTAACCGTAGCGAACTAAATATGCAAGAAGTAAAAATAGAATAACATTTGACAATATCCAACAAAATCACCATCACCACCATCATATTGCATAATAATAACTAACTAGTTACAGCATAGACAAAAGGAATGTATATTGGGCACAAGCCTATCTCTCCAGCGCCAAAGAGCTAAAAAAATAAGAATCTCTTACTCTTAGTAACTAATTAACTATCCACGGATATTTCCATCGTCACCTCGTCACTTCCTTCCATGCATGCAGAAAAACAATAATAACCCCATTTATTTCTTCCTATCATTCTTTATTACCATTTACCCGCTCAGGATGGATGTGAAAAGGGGGCCAACCACCAGGTGAACTAGGCTCGTTCCCCGAACAGCCCGAAGATAACCCAGTTCCAGACAGAGAAAAAAGACGGACGGATCCGGATATTTTATCTATAATATACGTATACCACTCTCACCATGGCCATAATAGCTTCGACGTACGCTGTAACTAGGCATTTCAAAATATTTTGCTGACGCAAGTTATTATTGCAGGATTGGCTTGGCTGGTTCCGGACCCTTCTCTCTTCTATCCGACAGGACCAAAGCGTCTTCTTTTTGCAGCAGGGGGGTTTTTCCATTAAACTGCTGGGGGGGGGGGTACATTCGGGTCTGGGGAATATACGCTGTAAATGTTGACTGACCTTCACCTGGTTATTTACCTATCGCAAAACTTTTCCATGGGGAATAACGGAAACGGATCCAGGGGTTGAAACAATTATGGTTGAATAGTTATATTTGCATATTTCCGGTTGGGACATGGGAGCTTACAGTGAGTGTACCTAGGGTATGGCTCCCAAAACTGCGTGATCGAAAACGCTTCGTAGCTGCTGTGTATAGAATACAGTCATGACTCATGAAATCGTCTTTGCTTCCTTTTTCGGAGGAAATACAAAAAGGCTCTTTGGCAGCCATATACCGACACAAGCCATAGTTATACATAGTTATACATATAACATAGTAAGTATCCATGCCTATAAACGGAAATTTTCAGAAGCATGTCAGCCAAAACTACGCTGTTACATTCGGTAGTTATTTAGTAGTTACGTAGATAGCTGACTGAACAACAAAGAGCAGCCGACGCCTATTTCCTGAACTCGACTCGACTAACCTGTTGACAACTTGAACTTTTGTTACTTAGTTATTGCTTGCAATTACACACACAAACAATGATATCAATGGTTACCATAACCATAGGTCGAACGTCGGCGGGATCCGCAGAGGGCCTGGAATTGAGTTTAGAGATCCGGGGTAAGCAATATTACTGGAAAACAATGATATCCACGGTTGCGAATGGCGCCTATCGGATTATTTATTGTTTATTGGTATTATATTTTGTTTGTTGTTTTGAAAGAAACTCATCCGCTCTCCGTATGTCTATAATTCCAGGCAGGGCGGAGAGACAAGACATCTGACCAAGAAAAGGTCAAGGAATTTAATTTATGTATGTACGAACACAAGATGCCTACGATCGGTAATGGCACACAATACTTCTGCCGGGAAGATTACCTTTGGACTTGAAAGTAGGGCGGGACCATCCACGTCATTCATGCCTACTCCCTTCCAAGGTTGTCTCTCTAGCTAGCTGCCAGTTTTGTCTACATTTTATCTACGTAGTATGGATGGATGATCTGCCGTTATCATGCATGCTAGGCCACTCTCTGGTTACACGACACAAGAGAGTAAACATTATGGGACCTGGTCAATCGTTCCCGAGGTGGTTCTGGTGTTGACATCATGTTTATTAAGCTTCATTGCGAGTGTTCGCTATCACCACCAGGAAGCGTGATAATAGCAGCAAGCACGGCTAAATTGGTATTTAGATAACAAAGCCATAAGCTGGACTCGAAGGGCAGGATAAAAGAGCCGGGCAGGAGGTGATGCTATATCCTGAGTGGAGAACCGGCGCGGCTACAATACAGCTACAATTGGGGATTGACTTGCTGAAGCTATAGTCTTTGATCACGGAAGTGCAGCAATGATATTTGGAACAAAAGAATCATAACTTCGAGAGCCAATTGATCCTTGACTCCTTGTAATTTTTTCCCTTTCAATTCCTTATCTGGGGGAAAGAGCAATTCAGGAAATGCGCTCTCGCAAAAATAAGAGGCGAGAACATTACAAAATTAAACGTCTCTTTCCTTTCTGACCTTGTTTTCTCACTGCACTAGCAACTTAAAATTTGATCCAGGAAACTCCATAAAATGCTCCATGGGAAAACAGTGAATGATCTGAAGAGTAGTGAAGTAAGCAGACAAATAAACATCTTAATCCTCGTCCATGGACTCCCATCCATCCCGACCAATATCTCCATCCCCCTCAGCCACACCGGAGTCGTCAGAGTCACTGCTGTCGTTCTGCGAAATGCCAATCATTCGCTCCTTCACTTCCCCTGCCAATGAACTCCCCAAGCGCGAAGAAAACGTTCTGCGCACAGCGGCATTCGTAGATGTATCCCAGATCTGTACCACCCCTTTGCTTCCCGCAACCGCGAGGCGGAAACTAACCTCTTGATCTGGCGCAAAAGTGGTGGAGAAGACCTTGCCAACTTCAACTTTCCGTGAGACAACCATATTGGGTTTGCTATCTTGCACGTTCCAGAGTTTGACTTGCTTATCGGTGGAGCCGGTGACAAGGAAGCCGGGGATGGTAGGGTTGATGTCAAAGGATGAAACGGAGGAATCGTGCGCTTGTAGCATCCATACTGGCTTCGTGTTTTCCGGCATAGCGGACACTTGTCGGACGTCGTGGCAGTATACCATCCCACCATCGGTTGTGACGTAGAAGAAATTGGGGTCGTGAGGGTCCCATCGGACGTTTTCGACATCGCTTTCAACCCGCCATCTCGCGGCCTTTGCGTCAGGAGCTCTCATGTCGGCAGCTACAACAGTCCTATCGTAGCTTCCGCTCAACAAGACTGTTGATTCTTTCGGGTGCCAGTCCAAGGCACAAATTTTATCACTGTGGTTGGCATAGGATTTTGCACATTTGGTCGTGTTCAGATCCCATAGCTTTACAGTTTGATCGGCTGAAGCTGACGCGAGCAGGTTTCGATGTTGTCTGTTCGCTGCCAATGCAAGGACTGAGTCCACATGATACTCGTCATTCACTTTCTTAACCTTTTTCTTCTTCTTCTTTTTCACGCCGGTCTCCGAGTTTCCATCCTGGCCGCCTTGGCCCAGGATGGCGTTTGGATACATGCAATCCACGATATCCAGGTCCCAAATTTCGATATCTGGTTCCATCGTGCCTACTGCGACAAAGTTGCCGTAGGATCTATTTTCTGAGTTCCTGCCAACGGGTATATCTAACCACTCCAAGCACAATGGGATCGCGGGCAGCATGATGTCGTGGTGTACGTAAAGATTATCTGCCTCGTCTTCGTATACATAGACTTCCAACTGTGCGACCTCATCCTCTACCTTGGCAGCCAATAGAAGATTATCGGTGGGTAAAATCTGTAGCTCTTCTCTCTCGTCATTGTCGTCGTCGTCGTCGACTCCCCCTGGAACAACCAAATATGGATCCTCTTCGTTGGGTTGGTGGTACGCAAGTGACCTGATATTGCCGAACATGGTGATTTGTTCGCCATTTTCATCCACAGGGTCGCTGTCATAATGATCTAGGTCGTATTCCTTTAGGTCATCATCAATGGTGTCGCTTTTTTTGCCATCGCTGCTACCACACATAATGCGTTAGCAAACTAAACAACCTCCTCAGGCGACAGGAAAACGTACCCTTTTGCCCTTCCTTTTCCCTCTCCACTTGGCTCCGCAGAATCGTCTTCGCTTTCCTCTTCCTCTTCCTCTTCCCCTTCCCCTTCCCCTTCCCTCTGGTCTTTGCTACTTTGATGCTGCGCTTGTTTTAAGTCCGTTTTGGCACCCTCGAGTTGAATCTTCGCGAGCTCCGATATCCGATTGATCTCCGCTTCGTCGATTTCATATCTTTCAGGAAAAGGCGCAGCCACACCGCGACGCACCCATGTCGTGGCTGTTATCATAGACATCTTGAGATTTTTGAGGGCGAAAATTTATCAGGCGGTATTTAAAATTATTGTGAGAATCGGGCAGGCTGCTCGGAAGCGCAGGGTTAATGAAGAGCCCTAAGCATACCAGATTGGAAAGGATAAACACTTCCTCTTCTCTGGGTTAGTTATGGAAAAGCCCTAGAATAGAAAGACTAGCCAAAGGAGAATGTCGCCTGCCGCACTCCTCCTTCGTGATCCAAACTGCTTCGGTCAACCTGTTTTTTTTTTTGTTTTTTTTCCCGGTATTTCGTATGTGCGGGACAACAAGGTCCCACCGCCCGGCAGAATATTCCGATGATGCATGGCGCTATGATCCATTTTCACGCAACTCCGCTCTTAACTACCGACGACCTCCTCCTTGTTGATCGATTCCCCGAGTAAACTGAATCATTACCCAAGGCGGTGATATCGCATTTCATTAACAAAATGCACTCCCATCTCCATACCAAAGACAATATAAGTGCGTTTCAACCCCCGCTCGTTCTAAAATAGCCGCATCCATTCCCTGGACACAAGTTATCCCCAACGGAGCAGCTGACCCCTTTCGTCTTCTTCCATATCTAGATTGCACGGAGATCATGAACATGCTCGACGAGTGCCATGCGCGGGGTTTCATCCACAAGGCGTTCGCCGGCTGCAACGAAATTAAACGAGAGGTAAACCGATGCCTCGGTGCGGAAAGATCGCGGCGCGCTCAAAAGAATCGGGATCAGGCGCGGGAGAACCGCAAACGGATTGAAGAAGTGTGGAGGAAGGATGATGAGTCGTGAAGAGAGGCATTTATACTATCGCTGTGCAATTGAGGGTGGCGAGGGGGTGTTAGTTTTTTTTTTTTACTTTTTTTTTTCTGGGCGGGAGAGCATCGTGTTCTGGCGCTTTGGTCATATATGATTTTTGATGTGCTCCTACTGGCTCCTATCCAACTTCGTTCTCCGAACTGGTACCTCTGTTGCTTGACTCTCTCCTCCAAGCATGATTGGGCGGATGTGTAGGGATATTTATTCCTGTGCCGTTGTCCAACTTATATTGCTGTTGGCGGCAAATTGTTATTGTTCGTATATATATTATCCCGTTTAGATCAAACGGGATGATACACTTCCATTTCTCAGAGTACTGCTATAAATACCTCGTGGAAGGTAGGAAAGCGCAATTGTATATTACAGATGAAAAAAAAAAAAAAATTGTGTTTCGTTAGACATTACAATTCAACAGCAAGCGGCGCGCCAAGTTGTGGCAGACCAGCTTCCTGAGAATTATCCGATTTATGGGATTTATGCCTTCGCTTCCTCTTAGTTTTCCCAGTAGGTTCTCCACCAGCATTCGATTTATCCTTGACATTTTCATCCTCTGAACCGTGTGCAGGCTGTCGTTCCGCTTCAGCAGGTTTATTGTTCTCGTTCTTTTCACCACCACCACCAATCACGCCGCCGCCGCCGCCACCACCACCACCCCTACTGCTGTTACTCGGCTTCGCGTGGTTTTTCGGCTTCTTCACACTCAGCGGATTTGGACCTTTGGCTCTTTTCGGCTTCTTCTCCTTCGTACCTGTTGATGTATCTTTTCCCTCCCCTTCGTCCGCATCATCCCTCTTCCTCTTTCCTGCCATCGTCTTGGTAATACCCGTCTTTAATTTCCCCCGCTCAACTCCTTCCCTCACTCCCTCTGACGAATTGCTCAGAGGCTCTAATACCATCACAGATCGTTTCACGTATATGATTGGAACGCCAGGTATTTGCCGCGCACCCTTGCGCAGATAATTTGTCGGCGGCTCTGGCGCAGTTGCGGCTATGGATTTCCATTTCTGGGTATGGGTATTAGTTGGCTCAGGATCTGCCGTAGCTAATATATAGTGCTCTTTGTTCTTTTTCAATTCTGGATTAGGCGATAGCAGAGACAGAAGACAATCGACTTCGTCAATGGTTTTTGAGTCTTCGTTATGCGAACAGTAGCGAAGGGGAAGGGTGGTGGGTGGTGGGAGCTGTGGAGGCCGCGTGTTGGGTACGAATTTTGATTGTTGTTGTTGCTGTGTAGAAGATGATGCCATGACTGCCGCGAGAGAGCATTTTGTGATAACTAAAGGTACGCGAAACGTATAGCTGTAAGCATATATATAGATATATATCTCTCCCTCGCGATGCTGAAAAGGGGTAGGTAGTAAAAACTGGAGAAACTTACATGGCTTCACTTTGCCATGTAATGTTCGCTCGAGGGCCGGCACTAGATCCATTTTGAAAGAGTAAACAGCTCTTAGGAAATTCGAATCAACTATGTGCATGTTGGTTAGTTTATCTCCCATCGCGGGGAATATCAAAAAAAGCATTCGAGACATACCGAGCACCTGATAAGGCTCGCGAAACCCAAATGTGAGCTCATACTGTTGCATAAGCTTGCGGTACTTCTTTGACCGTTTTGCCCTCATCGATGCGGTTCAATCTCCGCTTATAGGAAGTTTGGAATTCAGGAGAACAAGAAAATAGAGGCGAAATGTCCAAACACATCGCCCTGGTTTCTGAATTCTTTCCAAACTCGGAAATATTTGATGCCAAGAATTGTAATTGGCTGAATTAAGGTTAGTGTAGAGTTTAACTCTACACTAGCCACTTCTGGACCTTCCTCTGCACTGACATATCAGTTCAATCAACATATATATTCTGCTAATTATTTAAGGATCGACGAGTGTGGAATCCCAAAGGCAAACACAAGTCTGGCCTGGGCAATATTATGCAGAAGCAATAGGCATGAAAAACTGAATTCATACAGAAGCAGTTGAATTAACTAAAACCTCTTCAATCGAAGACCATCCTTAGACACATCTACATACATACCCTACATATGAAGTTTACGGTTACGAAACAGCCGGTGCCAGAGGCAGACGCAGATGCAGACGCGGAGGCGGAGGTTGGAAAGTCACCTCATCTAGATGCATTCAAGTGCAAACGCGAGCGTGGTGAGCGAAGCACGCTCGTATACAAAGTGGGGTTTCCCAACAAACATTGAGATATGTATTGTACAAGGAAAATAAACCAAGATCTGTTTTTTCAAGTACATAAGAATATATTGGGGAGTTTTCTTTGTTCATCAATGCCAGATTTCATATCGTCATTCACCGGCCCAACAAAATATGTATGTACAACCCAAACAGAACTCAACACATACATAAGTCTTCGGAAAAATTAATCATAATACTGACAATCATCACGGTGGGGAAAAGTCTAATACTAAACTCGATGGGGGGAAGTTATGTCCCCCTAGGATATCTCATATAATCGATCTCATTGTCGAAGTAAAAATACGCATTAGGGAAGGTTCAAGGTCATGTTGGATAGTGCCGTTATGTATACATTTGTCTTTTCTGTAATTGACGTTGTTTGATGGCGTTTTTGGCTAGTTGGATTACTCGAAGTCAACGGCCAACTGAGGCAACATATCTGGTTGTCCTATTAGCTAGCCGTTGTATTCGAGGTGCTTGTTGCACAACGTCCTTTATAGCCTGCCACCAATGTACGCAGAAGTCAGCAAGAAAACGGTGTCCAAGGCGATAGGCTTGAAATTACCGAGAATCAGAGTTCGAAAGAGCTATTGTGCTGTATTGATCGGGGAATAACCATCGGTCGTGGGGAGTGGAGATGGTGAACCAACGTCTTTTTGTGAAAGACCTAGGCTGGCACTTCCGTCTTTCCCTCACGCCACTAATAGTAGTGTCTGCTTGTGTATCTCATAATTCGATACACCGCTGGGATCATTCATTTTTTTCGTTTCATACACCTCCCAATAACCACGCTGATATCGTCCATCTTGCCTAGAATATTACTCAGTAACAGGTCAACTCTCAAATGTTGTTCATGACCCGGGGTGAAAAGGGTGAATGGGATGGATAACAACATACCCCCTTCAATAGTCAAACCCTCTTCTATAGCTTTCTCCATGTACGGACTTTCTGCAAAAGGATCCTGCGCGATATCTTTCGCAGCCTGGAGAAGTTTTCGAGCAGTATAGACAATCGCACCGCCTCCATCGGGAGCGCGATTAGAAAACATATCATCATCTTTCTTGCTAGAATCCCATTCATCTAAACTATCTAGCACCACCTTCAGGACTTCATGTTCCCACAAATTATCGACGACGCCATCGGACACCGCCAGGACGAGGTCATTCTCCTGCAACTCGATCTGTGCTGATTGAGCGTTTTCCTTGGGCGTGTCTACGCTGTTCGTGCCCAGCTGCATGGGACAGTCAAACCAATGCCACTGACCCTCCGTTTTGAATATGACTCGTTGTTCGCTTGGCCGGATGACGAGCAGTTGGCAATCGCCCAGAGTCGTTACGTAGAGCATGGGGGTGGGGGTGCCAGAGTTTATGGTATAGTGTAGCACGGCCGTGGTGGAAGTTGTTGTGCCCAGCCACTCGTTCGGAGTCGAAGTCGCCTCGACAGTTTGTTCATAGGCGCGTTGTAGATAGGAGACGTTATCCGGAGCGGAGTCCCCGTTTACGTTCCGCTCCACCTCCAAGGCCCAGAAATGAAGGATAAGCCTGGACCACAGCCTGGAAGATATATAGAAATAGCAAAAGCTAAGATTCAGCCACGCGCTTCTCTTTTTTTTTTTTTTGGCTACAGAAAAAGGGACCTGAATTTTTTCTCTTACGCTGCATGGCCTTGCGGCCTGGTAGCCCAAGCTCCTACCCCGTCATTCACGCCTAGGTAATTGTCCGATACAATAACTGCATCGTCGCCGTTCGTCAGGCCCCTGATCAGTTGTCCACCTACAGACAAGCGTCTATCCTGGCTTCGGAAGTGAGTTGTCAGGGGGTCAGAGAAAGACGTGGACGGGTTTGATACGAAGGGTGGCGGGAATGGTCGGGAATGTCTTTTGGGACACAGGGCATAGCCAGTTTCGAAGTGAAAGGGAAAACTGCCGACGTGATGAAGGGGGCCGCTTTCAGGAAGAGGAGTTGCGATGCCATAGGTGGGTGCTGTAGCTCTATAGGTGGCTATACCACGACGGAAGAGGCATGCTGTTTGTCGCTTGGAGGGGGATTTGGATGAACGTATAGCGGAGCAAGAGGAAGGCTTGAGGGGGGAGAGATTGAGGATCATGCCAACGGAAGAGGATTTCCCTCGCTTGGCCGCGCGGAGGAAGGCCGGTCAGTACATCCTGGAAATTATTGATTATCGGAAAGAGATAGGAAGAAGAGGGGGAAGATATTTGGAATGGTTGCAGCGGGATAGAGTGCCTCTCAAGCCGGTGCTGCTGAGTGGGACGGGGTGGAGTGCGATATCACAAACTACGGGAGTAAATACGGATCAAACAAGGCCAGGCTACATAAATACATACACGGTGTCAGCAAAAAGCACCTACGCTGCATAGTTACAACTGGACCATACCAACACCTGGCCAACAACTATGAGTGCGAGCAGACCTCACTAAAACTAACTGGCCATGCATCATTATTCCCGGTGCTCTTGAATGGCTAATGTAGTCATACAGGATGTGAATGTTTCACCTCTGCTAAAGAAACATACTTGAACTGGGAATGAAAGCTGCCAAATCTGCAGCGGATAGAATTCTACTGCCTCTTAGTTATAACCAGAATAGAATGCCTCTTGACTGCAGTCTGGTACTTTGCTGGACAGGCAAGATTCTTTTTCGTCAGCACTTAAGGAGAAGATCGAGTTTCGCATCCCAGTGTGTTGAAGTTTGCTGTTTATTTAAGCGCCGCGTCCCTCCCGCCAACTAAAATTAAAAACGACTCCTGTCCAACCCCACCCCCAATCGATAATAAATCGTTAATACTATTTTCCGACTGAACAATGCTTTTGGCCTTGCAGGATAGGGGTTTGCTCAAATCCCGACCCCATTTCTGTCCTTTGGAGCCTATCACTCGAGAAATTGCCCTTTAAGGGTTGTATGAAACTGGGTGGTTCCCGCAATGTCTGATCCATCAATCCCTTGATTGAAAGACGGGAAGCTGGATATTCAGTGTTCAGCGCGTCTTGGAACTGTGTGGTCCCTTGCCTTCAAAACCCCAACTCTTCCCAATCTTTCGAAATGATATGAATGGTGTGACCAGTTATATTCTTCTCCGGATTGAGGACTACTAACTAGTCAACCTTGAGTGTATCCTAGGCGGCTAATTGCAGTTCACTTTCTTTAGAGAGTCTCCATGCTGGCCAATATGTGTTTCAGGTCCTCAGTGCTGCTCTCTCTTCTGAAAAAAACATGTGGAGCCTTCTTATTTCTATACAGTCTGTTCTAATTTTACTATTCAATGGATGTTGACGGCGCCAATTTCTCCCTTACTCTAAGCTCTTTCACTTTTCATCGTCGCCGCCAACAATGTCGCGGCTTGGATATAAAAGGGTGTTCGTTTCCTGCCAGAGACGAGCTTCTCTAGGTATAGAAACATCGCGCTCGATATTCAGATTTCTAGTTCCTTAGACTTCGACTTTCCTCTTTTCTAGCAACCACTTTTGCGTCTTCTTTACCTTTCAATTCTATCTTCCTTTTACCGCCGACTGCTGAGAGTGCTCCCTTTCGCTCAACGAGAATTCTCATTCCCTCAAAACAACCATGGCAAATTATCTCTCCCTGCCTATCCTCCACGAACTTGTGCAATTTGCTGAGGAGGATGCATTGTATGAAGATTCGATTAAGGCGATGGCGTCAGGCATTCTCAACTATTATTTTCCAGCGACAAATGGTTTTACAGTTGCCCCAGAGCAAAACCGACAGGGGAATATCGCGGATTTTATCATCCTCCGGATCCAACGACGGTTCCCCGGTGACCGCGGTGTCGTCGATCACACCGTAGCTGAAGCCAAAAGAGATACCGACTCCATCACAGCTGCATTGGAGCAGCTTGAGAATGCCCTCGAACAAGCCAATACTGAATTTGGCAGGTGCTGGGCAATGCTTATTCATGGGTGCAACTTTCAATTTTTCGAATATCACATTCACCTGCCTGCGGGTGAACGGCTTATCCCATGGGGTCCTCCAAACCAACCGTCGCAGAATTTGTTCCATTGTCGAAATGAGAGCGTAACTATCGATTGGATGCTGCGTCATATGGGACAAAACAACACTCCACCAGCACGCTAGTGGCTGCTCACACTGCCATGGAGATATCGCGACGATGGGTATAAGAGGCTTGTTGGAATGCAACATTGGTGAACGGGTATTGGACGCAGATGACTATGTATTTGCTTGTTTGCTAGTAACTGATTATGTATATTCAAGAATATCTCATCTCAGCGGAATATCATGAATCATCCAACCCGTATGCTACACCGGCAAATGCGCCATTAAAGCGAATTGTAAAATTAATCAAGCGAGGTGGAATTGGGACAAGGTTTCCAAGCAACCGCAGTTCTGGGCAAAGATGAGAAGGCTTCCAGAATCGAATGCGGAGTATCTTGGGAGATCCAGCAACTGAAACTTCACAGTCTTCACCAGAAAACCGCCGGGTTATATGATTGATGCCTCCAGGAACGAGTTCTCTGCAAAGCTTGCCTTCTTTGCAATCAAAACAAATAACCTGGGAATCTGCCTCCGGTTCAGATCTCACCCCGGCACATTCAGCATGTCTACAGGCGTAACAGGACGGGCAATAGACCCAGTTCTCGCGAAGTCTATCCTTCTTCCCACAGCAGGGTACGGAGTGCTTAAAACTTCGCAGCGTAAAATGTTGAATCTGCGGAATTGTTGAGTAATACTGCTCTTGAAAAATAAAGGAAGACTGTGACAGTGTCAATGCGCCCTTGGGACTGCAAGATCTGAGGATCAGATCCAAAGTTTCTGGTGGCAAACCAACTCCGAGGTGCTCCCTGCGGGCAAGTGATGGTTTCCAGCACGATGAAGTCAGAACGTAGCTCAATAATCGAAATCCAGGGGAACATTGCCGAGCCGACATGTTGACAAGAAAAGGAAGAATCTGAGAGCACAAAATAGACTTGGATGAGACCTCAACAAATGCAACATGTCGAAGTGATAAGATAATTAAATGGGCGGCATCCCTGTGAGAAACCTCAAGGAAGAATTGAGCCTTGGAGATAGCTGCCGAGATTGAGGTTTTTGTATTGATATTTCCATGAAGCACAACAAGGTATCCGTGGAACCAGAAAATATCTGTTTGGGGCGCGTCCCAGTAAGGAAAATTTACCCTATTTTCTGGATAATCAATTTCAGAGTCGGATGATACTTCAAGATCCCATGCTGCAATACGCAGAAGGCCAATGGCAATTGTGTTAAATGCCATAGAGGGATATCGCCAAGTCATTGGATCATCAATGAAAAATCGCCATATAAAACAGAAGTCACGGGAAATCCTGAATTGTAGCTCATTCAGTGTTGTGGGCGGCTCAGGATGAATAAGAAGTTGATCCAGTACGACTTGTGGTGTCGTAGGCGCTCCTCCGTCCTCGGGCTCTGATACCTCACCCGGAACCCGAGTTAATTGATCCAGCGTCAAGCCATGAGATCCATCTAGACAAGATAGCGGTATCTGGCCCGGAAAAGGCTGAAGCATGCCATCAAAGCTCTCCCATCGTGTTATTGTTAAGGTTCCGGCGTCGACATCGATCGTGTACACGTAGTCCAAATTCGACTGTAGCGGACTGGGAAAGGAAACTGGCTCCCATTCTTCCAAGTTATCGAGAGAAGCTATGATAGACTTTATTCGCCGCACAGTTTCTGGCTCGTTTGGGGATCGGATACGGCTCCTTGGTTCGTGCAAGCGATACCATTTCCCTTTGAGCGGTCTGTTAGTAAATAGCTGTAAAGGCCGAGAAGATAGCTCGCGTACCGGCAAAACGTAAGTTCCATAGGCCTCTTGTCCCCATCTCTCTTGTCAGTAAGAAAGAGAGCAAGATTGCTGTCGGCTTGGCGGTCCTTGAGTGTCGCAGAAATGCGATGGAAGAGACTCGGCGTATTAATAGATTGTCCTGGAAACAAGGGGATGTAGAGAATAACAGTCAAACTGGGAGAATGATTGAGGAGGATATCGAATGAAGAAGAGTGGGAACCAGGAAGTTGTGTAAATGTATTGGGAGGTAGTCAGAGGGAGCTAAGAACATCATACGTGAGAAGTGGAATAAAGAAATTATCACTATAACAGAATTATTTTAAGTATAACAATCTTCACAAGTTAACTAATAATCATCATTACATCTATCTATAATATAAAGATTCTCTATATACTCGTTAGAAACTGTAGAATTCACTGTAGATTGAGTTATTGAAGCTTCATACAAGATGATTGACTGAAGAAAAATAGTATGAATAAAAATCAATTGCTATAGATCTGACTAACTAGCTAGCTATCTTTCTTCTATCTATCTATATAATCTGCTTGACTTCATCATATAAGCTACTAGTTCTAGACATCAATATAGAGATGCAGATTATATCTAGATGTTATATATAGATTTTATATAACTGAAGTAAATAGAAATAATATATATCTACTTCTTCAGAAGAGAAAAAGAAAAAGAAAAAGAAAGAAAAAAAGAGATTATATATACTGAAGAGAGAGAGTTAATTAAGAATTATAGAAGCAGTAGATATTAAATCAGCTGTGAGTAGTTACTGTTCAGAGAGATCTCTCATTTATTATTGAGAATTATTCTTCTCATTATCTATAATCTCTATTATCTTCATCTCTTTCTAGACTGGCCGGTGGGACCATGAATTTCACATTTGGTTTGGTTTGGTTTGGTCCCAGTCCATTTCTTGGCATTATTTTAGTGGGACCAGGATCAGAATGGGAGTGTAAAGTGACTAGAATTATCAAAACATGAGTGAAATGGGACTAAAAAATCTTGATATTCCATGTAAAGTGACTGACTATCAAAATCAGAACATGATCTGGGACTGATCATGATTTTGACTCAAGTTTGGTCCCATTCTGATGATTATATAATACATCAATCTGATGATATGATTGGTGGAGATATTACCCCTATCTTGCTTAGTGCTCAATGCCCTGATGGCTCGCTATTAGATCCCCTATCTACCACTGCCAATCTACCTACCACTGCTAATCTATGCCGCTGCCAACCTACCTATCGCTGCTAATCTATCGCTGCTGCCAACCTACCTACTGCTGCCAACCTACCTATCGCTGCCAACCTATCTACCACTGCCAATCTACCTACCGCTGCCAACCTACCTACCACTGCTAATCTATCACTGCTAATCTATCGCTGCTAATCTATTGCTGCTAATCTATCTATCACTGCTAATCTATTGCTGCCAACCTACCTACCGCTGCCAACCTATCTACCACTGCCAATCTACCTACCGCTGCCAACCTACCTACCACTGCTAATCTATCACTGCTAATCTATCGCTGCCAACCTACCTACCGCTGCCAACCTACCTACCGCTGCCAACCTACCTACCACTGCTAATCTATCACTGCTAATCTATCGCTGCCAACCTATATAGGGTAAATCATGGTCCCATTTGGTCCCATTTTGTAAAATGGGACCAAATGGGACTGGGACCACTAATTTATTAGTAAAACATGATCTGGGACTAGATTTATAATATAAACAGTGTAAAGTGACTAATTTACTAAACACTATATGGGACCAGGACTAAGATATCTAATAATGGGACTGAGGAAAAATTTGGTCCCAGTCCCATGCATGGTCACACGGCCAGTCTATCTCTTTCTCATTTTATACAGAGCAGTGAATGATATAATTATATTATTTACAGTTATTATAAGCTTCATCAAAGTAATTAGATAGATAACAATATTCTGAAAATGACTGAAGATCTGAATGAGCACTTTAATAAATAAAATATATATATAACTCTGTTCAGCTGTGAGATTGAATGAGAATAATATTAATATATAATAGTCAGTGGCTTCAAATCTGCAGCTCTGTTATGCTATCTTATATAAAGAATATATTTTACTCTAAAAGAGTTAGAACTGCTCTGAATTATAAACTGTGAATAAAAAAACTCAGCTGTTAATTAATTATAAAGAAAATATAATAAAGATTCTGAAGATCAGAAAGATTAAGAAAAGAGAGAGCTCTATATTATACAGAGAAGAGAGTAGTTAGTACTGTAATATTTAATTAATGAAGCAATTTATCAGAGCTTCATATATATATAGTTGATATAATAATATATTGAAAGAAGAAGAAAAGAAGAAGAGAAGAGAGAAAAGAAGAAGAAAAGAAGAAGAGAAGAGAGAAAAGAAGAAGATATTATTATAAAAAGATAAATGAATATAAAAAAGCAGATGTAATTTACTGTTTTTATTATTATCATCAATCTATCAATTTATTCACTTTCTTTAATTAACTCATCATCTCTATTATTTTTGTACAATAGTTAACTATAGTAAGAGAATATACTGTATAGTAGTAAATTTTTATATAATAAAGAGCAGAGCTGCTAGCAGTATACTTGTGACGGGTTAGCACCCGTTAGTAGTTAACTTACGCAACCAACCCCCTATCGCCCGTTCGCCCTCTCACGTGCTCTCGCGTACCTACAAAACACCCCTCTCCTCGCGATCCCACTCCGCGCTCGCGTAGTCTCTAACGATTCCTCCGCGTAACCCCTAACATTCTTCCACTCCACGCTCCACTGCAGCACGACCCCCGATATTCTTCCATCCCGATCCTCCTTCTATAAGAACCCCCTTGTACGACCCCTTCTTCTGATCTTCTTTCTCTTTCTTTCCTTAATTGATTTGTAAACTGTTATCAGGATAGTGTCAAGTCCATTGATATTGCCGTTGGAACGGATCGTACAAACTGTGCAGGCAGTACAAACAGTTTAATCTGCAACATCAGTAACATCTGCTTAATCAGTGGCACATCCATTACATTATGAATCAATTCATCTGTGTCAGCCTGAGTGCCCTGTGTTTACAATCACACCTAGGTGCCCAAGTTAAGTTTAAGAATAAGTTACCCAAGTTCTATAAAGCCACACCACTGTGATAGTGCTGTGAAGAAGCCCAAGTGCTTAGAAGTTCACAACTGCGTGTCTGTGAAGAGGCCAGAGTGCCTACAAAGTATTTCCTCCAAAAGAATAAGAACTGAACCTTCTGGTCTCCAAGTTACCAGGATCAAGAACCATGGCCTCATACAAAAACAAGATGAATTACAAACACCCCTACAAACACCCTTCCACAGGCGAGAACCAAAACCTTGCAGAAGACAATGCTGAACTCCATAGCTTCCTTCAGCAGCAATCTCTGTAGATGATGGAGCTTCAGCAACAACTGAATAATCTGAATACAAATACATCAAGAACTACACAAGCATCAACACCTCTTACATACAAAAGAAGAGAACACCTTCCTCTTCTCAACAAATTCACAGAAGAACTCTCAATCTACTTAGTCTGGAAATGAAAGACAAAAGCCAAGCTTGAAGAAGATGAGTCTGTGATAGACTCTCTGCTCTCACAAGCTTGCTATGTTTATAGTCAGCTAGAAGAAGATGCTCTAGCCAAGTTTCAATTTTAAATTGAGTTGTGCATATATGAGATGTGCACTTCTGAAGAAGTCTTCCATCAACTAGATATTCTGTTCTTGAACTCTATACTTCAAATATGTGCAATACAATGATTGAACAGAAATCATCAGAGGAACATATCACTGACAAACTATCTATTCAACTTCAACAGCAAGATACACAAAGCAGAAGATCAGAATTGAGATAATACTGTCAAGATCAATCTTCTGAATCAGTATATTAGCTTTGAACTGCTCAAGCTCTGCATCTTACATTTTATACCCACACATTATTATGACTACTGCACCCACTTACATCAACTTGACAACAATCTCACACACTTCAATGCTGTCTAAGAAAGATGTAACAATTATAGGCAGAATTACATGCCTACTAACATATCAACTACACCAGCTGCTTCTGTGAATGCTATGAATTAAACCCCTCATATGAGCACAGAACAATCAAAGATATCTGATCTCTCTGAATAAGAAATTACTGATTGAATTGCTCAAGGCATCTACATTCATTGCAACAAGTCAGAACACTTTGCAAGTCAGTGTATCAATGCAGTAGCTTCTGTCTCTACATCCATAAATGAACAAGAACAGAGAAAAGAAGAGCTCTCACTCTAAAATATAGATAAGAGCTCAAAAAGCAAGAAGCTAGCTGAAGGTTCAAGCAGAAGATGCAAGCAGATATAATTATAGTTTCTGTTATTGTAAATAGCTTAGTCAATGTATAAGCAATGATAGACAGTGGTTTTCTTCACTACATTCTTATAAATACTCAGCTGATTGAGAAGCATAAGCTTCAGTATATCTTCTTCTCTGAACTGTGTAAGCTCAGTGAATTCAACAGTCTCAGAGAATCTATCTTCTACAATATAATAAGATTTAATATTGATGTAGAAGAGCATGAGAAAAAGAATGTTTATGCATATAAAGTACAGAATCTTGAGTACAACTTAATACTCAGCCTGTTATAACTTATAGAATTTGGAACCTTGTTGAATACACACAACTGTTGTCTTATTTTCTCAGAAAGCAATCATATCTATAAGAAGAATGTTGATAGAATTGCTGATCTCATTCAGATATCAGCAGAAGCATTCAAATTGTTAACTCATCAAATACATAAGAAGAAGGATATTCAGATGTTCACTGTCAGTATAACAGATATCAAAAAGACATTAGAGAAATTGAAGCTTAAGAACTTCAAGAAGCTCCACAAAGAACTCTCTGAAACATACAAGAACTTTGCAGATGTATTTGATGAAAAGGTGGCTGAGATACTCCCCTCTCATCAAGAGCACAGTATAGATTATATGATTGAGCTTATCAAGAAAGATG